TCAAAATTGGTCCCGCCCCGGGGGTCATTGATTTTCCCTATATGCATATAGTAAAAACTTAAAAAAATCTTCTTTTAAAGAACTCAAAGAGCTAGAGCTTAGATATTTGGCATGAAACATCTTCTAGTGAGTGTCTACCAAGTTTGTTCAAAATAAAAGCCCTGGGTCAAAATTGGCCCCACCCCGGGGGGGTCATTGATTTTCCCAATATGCATATAGTAAAAAACTTAAAAAATCTTCTTTTAAAGAACTCAAAGAGCTAGAGCTTAGATATTTGGCATGAAACATCTTCTAGTGAGTGTCTACCAAGTTTGTTCAAATAAAAGCCCTGGGGGTCAAAATTGGCCCCGCCCCGGGGGGTCATTGATTTTCCCTATATGCATATAGTAAAAACTTAAAAAATCTTCTTTTAAAGAACCCAAAGAGCTAGAGCTAAAGATATTTAGCATGAAAACATGTTCTAATGGGTATCTACCAAGTTTGTTCAAATAAAAGCCCTGGGGTCAAAATTGTCCCGCCCCCGGGGGTCATTGATTTTCCCTATATGCATATAGTAAAAACTTAAAAAATCTTCTTTTAAAGACCCAAAGAGCTAGAGCTAAGATATTTAGCATGAAACATGTTCTAATGGGTGTCTACCAAGTTTGTTCAAATAATAGCCCTGGGGTCAAAATTGGCCCCGCCCTTGGGGGTCATTGATTTTCCCTATATGCATATAGTAAAAACTTAAAAAATCTTCTTTTAAAGAACCCAAAGAGCTAGAGCTAAGATATTTAGCATGAAACATGTTCTAATGGGTGTCTACCAAGTTTGTTCAAATAATAGCCCTGGGGTCAAAATTGGCCCCGCCCTTGGGGGTCATTGATTTTCCCTATATGCATATAGTAAAAACTTAAAAAATCTTCTTTTAAAGAACTCAAAGAGCTAGAGCTTAGATATTTGGCATGAAACATCTTCTAGTGAGTGTCTACCAAGTTTGTTTCAAATAAAAGCCCTGGGGTCAAAATTGGCCCCACCCCGGGGGGTCATTGATTTTCCCTATATGCATATAGTAAAAACTTAAAAAATCTTCTTTTAAAGAACCCAAAGAGCTAGAGCTAAGATATTTAGCATGAAACATGTTCTAATGGGTATCTACCAAGTTTGTTCAAATAAAAGCCCCTGGGGTCAAAATTGGTCCCGCCCGGGGGGTCATTGATTTTCCCTATATGCATATAGTAAAAACTTAAAAAATCTTCTTTTAAAGAACTCAAAGAGCTAGAGCTTAAGATATTTGGCATGAAACATCTTCTAGTAAGTGTCTACCAAGTTTGTTCAAATAAAAGCCCTGGGGTCAAAATTGGCCCCGCCCTGGGGGGTCATTGATTTTCCCTATATGCATATAGTAAAAACTTAAAAAATCTTCTTTTAAAGAACCCAAAGAGCTAGAGCTAAGATATTTAGCATGAAACATGTTTCTAATGGGTGTCTACCAAGTTTGTTCAAATAATAGCCCTGGGGTCAAAATTGGTCCCGCCCCGGGGGTCATTGATTTTCCCTATATGCATATAGTAAAAAACTTAAAAAATCTTCTTTTTAAAGAAACTCAAAGAGCTAGAGCTTAGATATTTGGCATGAAACATCTTCTAGTGAGTGTCTACCAAGTTTGTTCAAATAAAAGCCCTGGGGTCAAAATTGGCCCCACCCCGGGGGGGTCATTGATTTTCCCTATATGCATATAGTAAAAACTTAAAAAAATCTTCTTTTAAAGAACTCAAAGAGCTAGAGCTTAGATATTTGGCATGAAACATGTTCTAATGGGTGTCTACCAAGTTTGTTCAAATAAAAGCCCTGGGGTCAAAATTGGCCCCGCCCCGGGGGGTCATTGATTTTCCCTATATGCATATAGTAAAAACTTAAAAAATCTTCTTTTAAAGAACCCAAAGAGCTAGAGCTAAGATATTTAGCATGAAACATGTTCTAATGGGTATCTACCAAGTTTGTTCAAATAAAAGCCCTGGGGTCAAAATTGGTCCCGCCCCGGGGGTCATTGATTTTCCCTATATGCATTTAGTAAAAACTTAAAAAATCTTCTTTTAAAGAACTCAAAGAGCTAGAGCTTAGATATTTGGCATGAAACATCTTCTAGTAAGTGTCTACCAAGTTTGTTCAAATTAAAGCCCTGGGGTCAAAATTGGCCCCGCTCTGGGGGGTCATTGATTTTCCCTATATGCATATAGTAAAAACTTAAAAAATCTTCTTTTAAAGAACCCAAAGAGCTAGAGCTAAGATATTTAGCATGAAACATGTTCTAATGGGTGTCTACCAAGTTTGTTCAAATAATAGCCCTGGGGTCAAAATTGGCCCCGCCCTTGGGGGTCATTGATTTTCCCTATATGCATATAGTAAAAACTTAAAAAATCTTCTTTTAAAGAACTCAAAGAGCTAGAGCTTAGATATTTGGCATGAAACATCTTCTAGTGAGTGTCTACCAAGTTTGTTCAAATAAAAGCCCTGGGGTCAAAATTGGCCCCGCCCCGGGGGGTCATTGATTTTTCCCTATATGCATATAGTTAAAAACTTAAAAAAATCTTCTTTTAAAGAACCCAAAGAGCTAGAGCTAAGATATTTAGCATGAAACATGTTCTAATGGGTGTCTACCAAGTTTGTTCAAATAATAGCCCTGGGGTCAAAATTGGCCCCGCCCCGGGGGGTCATTGATTTTACCTATATGCATATAGTAAAAACTTAAAAAATCTTCTTTTAAAGAACTCAAAGAGCTAGAGCTTAGATATTTGGCATGAAACATCTTCTAGTGAGTGTCTACCAAGTTTGTTCAAATAAAAGCCCTGGGGTCAAAATTGGCCCCGCCCCGGGGGGTCATTGATTTTCCCTATATGCATATAGTAAAAACTTAAAAAATCTTCTTTTAAAGAACTCAAAGGGCTAGAGCTTAGATATTTGGCATGAAACATCTTCTAGTGAGTGTCTACCAAGTTTGTTCAAATAAAAGCCCTGGGGTCAAAATTGGCCCCGCCCCGGGGGGTCATTGATTTTCCCTATATGCATATAGTAAAAACTTAAAAAATCTTCTTTTAAAGAACCCAAAGAGCTAGAGCTAAGATATTTAGCATGAAACATGTTCTAATGGGTGTCTACCAAGTTTGTTCAAATAAAAGCCCTGGGGTCAAAATTGGCCCCGCCCCGGGGGGTCATTGATTTTCCCTGTATGCATATAGTAAAAACTTAAAAAATCTTCTTTTAAAGAACTCAAAGAGCTATGGCTAAGATATTGAGCATCAAACATGTTTCTAATAGGTGTCTACCAAGTTTGTTCAAATAAAAGCCCTGGGGTCAAAATTGGCACTGCCCCGGGGGTCATTGATTTTCCTTATATGTGTATAGCAAAAACTTAAAAAATCTTCTTTGAAAAAACCCAAATAGCTAGAGTTAAGATATTAAGCATGAAACATCTTTTAGTGAGTGTCTACAAAGTTTGTTCAAATAAAAGACCTGGGGTCAAAATTGGCCCCACCCCGGGGGTCATTGATTTTCTTTATATGTGTTTAGCAAAAACTTTAAATCTTCTTTGAAAAAAAACCAAATAGCTAGAGTTTAGATATTAAGCATGAAACATCTTCTAGTAAGTGTCTACAAAGTTTGTTTCAAATAAAAGCCCTGGGGTCAAAACTGGCCCGGCCCCAGGGTGTCATTGTTTTTAACTATATGTGTATAGTAAAAAAAACTTTAAAAAAATCTTCTTTAAAAAGCCCAATGAGCTAGAGCTTAGATGTTTAGCATGAAACATCTTCTTATGGGTGTCTACCAAGTTTTTTGTGCAAATAAAAAGCCCTTGGGTTTAAATTGGCCCTGCAACGTTGGGGGGGGGGTGGGGGTTGGGGGGACCTATATACAGGTGAGCGCGACCTCAGGGCCATCATGGCCCTCTTGTTTCTTTTATAATGCCTATTTTTAGTACATTTTTTTCAAACAAACCGAAACAAACAAAAAGACCAAAAGCAATACGCACTTTGAAACAATTGATTTCTGCGCACAAGAAATACTATACAATCCTGTATATAGTATATTTCTGAATGATATAGAATAGATTGTATGTGACAAGACCATGTGTGGAAAATAAATCTATTCTCCCAGCAAGGGTCAATCCTGGTTTTCTAGGAACATAATTAGAACATTTACTGTTGGTATTGGAAATATATAGTGTATATACATGACTGTCTAGATATAATATGCAAGGGTGATTATGTTGTTTAGTTATAATTACTGAAGATGTGCAAGAATCAGTAAATCTTGTTATAATGTCAAGAGATTTTCTTGAACATTATGCTTTGATAGAATGGTTATAGAATTTTACATTTACATATTATGTTAAAGTGTAGAGATTTAAAGGGACTCCAGTTAAATTTTTTTCAACATGATTAGACTGCAAAACTTTTTTTTTTATAAGAATTACAAAAAAATGTATGTATCATTTGATGTAGGTGACTGGACCAATGGTTTGTGTGCAAAATTTTTATTTTCTTAATTTTTATTAGTGAAAAATGCCCCAAAAATCCAAAACGATAGAATGCTTTTAACTCAGATCTGCCATATAGTGTACAAAAATATGATATCCAAGTTATTGAGAGTTAATTTGTTATCTTTTGCGTATCTTTCCATTTTAAGTGCCCTAGTTGATCTTCAAAGGAATTCAAATTTTATGTTTTTTACGCTTTTGGAAGTCAGTGGAATTTCTTTAGGATGTTGTTTCAAATATCTTTTAACATAATGCCTCTTTAAAATATGATTTCAATTATCTAACTTTATAACATGTTTTTATTTCAAAATAACTAATCTTTCGAAAAAAAGGTGAATTAATTAAATCAGTAGGAGAAAATCTCTTTACTGTAGAGTGTCATGCAATGAACATGATTTTTATTTTTTTAACAACTCCTATTAAAATATGTGATTGTTATTTCTAGGTATAATATCTATGAAACTTAATATTTGTTATTGGAATTATGTTATTATTGGAATTGGATTTCAATGTCAGTTTAAAAGAATTAATGGTCTGGGTTAGTTCTGTACTTGATTAGTTGAGTGATAATTAAATTTTTCTCCTTTTGTTAAGTTAATGAGTTGATTCAATTTGGGGGAGGGGGGAGCTTTTATAATAAGTTTAAATTTGTGAAACATATTGATTTCTGCAGAGAAAAGAGATAAATAGCTAGAGTTTAATTTCATTTCAAACAACTGAAAATAAAAACTTCATTTTATTGGACATTATTGGTAATTGCTTTAGAGAGATTCTGAGAGAAAATTTGATTTACACCCGAGATTTGCAAAGAAATATGTTGAAACCTTGATTATTTGAGCTTAGTTATAGCCTAGAAATCATAAATGTTATTTTTTCAAGCCTTTATATTAACAAAAGAGCTTCAGCTTTAGGTGAAATGATTCGGCTTACAGTCAGAAACCACTGTGTCAACACAAATTAGTGTCATTGGTCAATTTAAATTTCAAAATTATAACCATACACTATGAAGAATTTCTAGATTTACATTTGAACTGGGTTACCAACTGTTGGATAATAGACCAAAAGGTTTGAAATTTTATGTCATGTCTGATGGTCTCTGTCTTCTGTCTTCTAATTGTTCATATTTAGTAGTGCCCGAATATGGAGTAACTTTTTCCATTAGGGCTGTACCATACTTGATCAGATCCAAACAAATACATTGTTGGCCAATGTTCGGTACAACTCTATCAAATACTAATTTGGGTTACTTGTTATTGAATTTATTACTGATCGACCATGTGTGTTCACTTTACACCAGTCAGACTGGTTTATTAGCACAACTGTTTTGAAATATTCTGTTGTGATGTTTTTTTTTGTTTTTTTTTAGTGAATATTTTTTTCTAATATACGATATATAAATTTTTTATATTTACAGACAGGGCCTTTCACATTAAAGTCACCACCTTTATCAACATTTCATCAACAGTTCTGGTTGATTGCTCACATTATAACAGATAACAAAGCTGGTATGTATTACATAGCTAAGGTTGTTTATTATAAGTATTTTTCACTGGCTGCCGGTACAGACCGGAATATCTAGCTCGAGGGTAGCTATTTACGGCGGTAACGAGGCTCTGCCGAGTTTCTGCCAAACAGTTATCCAAAGCTAGATATTCCAGTATGTGTTTGATTCTTTTTGTTGCATATTACATGTCAAATATTTTAGGAACAGAAATTGGATATTTTCATTATGCACTATTTTCTTATAGTAGCAAATTATGAACTTACAAACTTCATTCCTAACAATCAAATGACATCATCTTAAGAACAATAATTAATCACTCATAAAAGGCACATGGCAATGATGTCATTTAAAGCATGAGTCATGTCTTACATGGGAAGTCTAAGACAGGTTTTTCTAGCACCAGTGTAAATGGTAGATAATCCTGTCTGATATGCAAGAAAGCTAAATATTATATCTAAGTTTGTAGATGCCTGAAATATAGTGGCATTTGCACAAGTTCCTGTATTTGTCTAGTAAAATACTGATCGTCAAAATAGGACAATTTTTACCAGAAAAGCAAAATTTAGAAAAATATTGTTCTCAAAATGATTGAATTACAAAAGCAAAATTATAAAAGCAAAATTTAGAAAAATATTGTTCTCAAAATGATTGAATTAAGTAGCACAAAATGTACTTCAGTAACTTTACATTTATTATAAATTGTTGTACAAATTTGTCTATGATTATAATTTATTTGATGTCATCGAAAACAGAGTATTGTTTGTTATATATTTTGTTTTGATTACAAGTTACATTATGTATTTAATTTAAATTGTAATGTTGAGTTTTCATCATTAATATTTGAGTGTTTTTATGTTTAATTTATATTTACTGAAACAGTCATACATGTACATGTAGCTATAAACATGTACTAAAGATTGAGGGCTTTTATGGTTTGCGATGGCATTTAAGCTGCATGCCTCCAGATGAGTCAAAACATTTTAGGAAAATCAAACTTGAAAAAAATGTACTAAAAATTTTAAGAAAAGTAAAAATATTCACAATTCAAGAAATAATTTACATTTTATATGCAATTAATGACTGATTTTGCAGTATTTATCACCATATTTCTACTGTATTACTAATGCAGTAAGGGCTGTTTTGGCATATTTTGACATCCTTCTGGTAATGAAATTTGTGTGGATATTAAGTGCCAATAGCAATATGTAAATTACTTTCTTTGTTTACCTCGCAATACCATAACATTTAAATACATTTTAAAAAATTTCATGAAAATTAGCATGAATCTGGAGGCGTGCTACTTTAAAAACAAACAGACTGTAGATCTGAAGTTTAACAATATCATCAGTCCATGTTTTAAAATATGATTACAATGCTAATGAAATCAATGCCATTTTTGCCCAGGAACAAAAATAGAACAATCATTCACTGTGAGTGTTTTCATTGGTGGAATCAAGGGAGAAGATGAAAGTATTATCCAATCAGAGAATCCGAAACTTGATGGGCTGTCACATAATAGAACAAGGTTGTTGTCATGTAAAGAGGTAAGAGTTCAATACAGTTGAAGTCATTGAAGTCTAATAAAAAGCCTTAAGCAGCCATTCAAATCCAATAAATGCCAATAAAAGCCATTTAGAATATCATGTCAGGTTTCTATTGCGTCATTTAGTCGCTAACAGATCAAAACTAGAGACTAGAGGGCCATTAGATTTATTGTGATGTATAAAACAAATAACAAAATTATAATAGGATTTTGAACTTACATTTTTGTAGGAGTTATACATTTATGCAACAATGAACATAGGTGGACAGTTTTCCGAAAGGAAATGTTGTCTGTCACTGGATGATAATTCTGGGATCCCATTGGTGTGAAACAATGATCAAAGTCATTTATGTCACAACATAGAATTCAGATGTTCTTAATTGGTCCCACATTGCTCAAAGTCTGCTTCTCTTGTTAATTATGTTGTATTTTGCTGTTAGAATTTAAAAAAAAATGCTTTTATTTACTGAAACAGGCTTCACCGAAGTAAAGAAAAAATAAATGAATGCTAGTTTCACCCTTATAGTGATTTTTCACCTTATATAAACAGTATTTTTCCAATGGAAAAATCAATCAATTTTCCCCCCAAACCAGAACTTACACCATCATTTTTATACCCCCAAAAACGAAGTTTGGGGGGGTATATAGGAGTCACCCGGTGGTCGGTCGGTCGGGCTGGCGGTCGGGCGGGCGGGCGGTCGGTCGGTCCAGACGTCCGTTGCATTTTCCTTGTCCGGAGCATAACTTGAAGACTAATGGTTGGAATTCAATATAACAACATACAATGGTCAAGCACATTGAGAGGAATTGCAGTGCACAAGAACCATAACTCTATCTTGACTAATTACAGGCTGTCCAGCGTCCCTAAAATTCCTAAAAAATCCTAATTTTTTTCAGTTTGGCTAAAATTCCTAAAAAAATGAAAAATTCAAAGGGATTTCCTAAAAAAGCCCTATTTTTTCACTTAAATTCCTATTTTTTTATCTTTTGTGATAAACATATCGCGAAACAACCATGTTTCAATCACAACATAAATTTGAACACAGTCAGTGGAGCTAAATGTCATGTCTGACTAAAATGCATAAAGTCACATGTTGTATTTACTTTAACTCCTGCAGAAATGCCATACTTGATTAGTTACCAGATGTTATCAGAGAAATAATAAAAAACTGTTTGTTTTAAATGGAACAATGAAAATTGTCTGGCTTTGACTATATCAAAATAGTCACCAGTGTTTAAAATTGTGATAAAAAATGTCCAAGGAAGTTACATTTTTATTGGCTACAGAGTTTTACCATTTACCTCAGTCTTAGGTGTATTTAAAGCAACTATTTACATTATGAATAACTAAACTTTATCAAACTTTATGTAGGGGTCCTTATTAATAAAATCTTAATTTGTAATCAAGTTATCTGTAGAACAGATCTTTTGTTAGTGATACTAGCTTGCAGATCTAGACAAGTTTCCATTGCTAATTATAAAGTGGGTAAGGTAAACTGGCAGTAATGATTGGATGCTTTAACCATTTTGCTACCCAATTAGGGTACTAAGAAGTGACACCTTCAGCTGCCCTTTTTGTACACATATGTTATAACATATAGTGTAAGTTTTTTAAAATCTGGAAAAAAAACTGTTGAAAATCATTGAAAAAACTAACACTGTTGTGAAATTTTCTACAATTTTTAGTAGCCTGATTTATCTTGAACAAATTCTTCATAGGTGTATACCCTGCTGTTTGAATTTAAGTTTTAATATTCCTGGGAATGACTTGAGTGGGTCATATTGTTTTTATTGTTTTTTAAGAAAGATCAAGACTTGTTGAAAATGTACCAACCTTAAAATGAATAAATGTTGATAATAAATGCATTTATAGCTAAAATAAATCTAAAGCATAATTTCCCCTTCCATTTATTATTGGCTAATCAAAGCTTAACTAATTGAATATTGGTTGTTCCGGGATACTTATAACTTTGAAAATGTTTTCATTCTAGTTATGTTTTAATGTAGTTTTTCAGCTCTTTTTAAAGGCAGTTGACCAGTGAATCCATTTATTCACTGGTGACTATGGAACACTGGTTGCTATAACTGAACTATAGCATTATTTGTGAGTTACTTTTGTGTCAAATATGCAAAGTTGAGCCCATATCATGGTCTTTTGAGGCCATAATTTTGTTATGAAATTCAAAATTTAGCCCTAAAATTTCTTTTATTTACCCTAAAATTACTAATTTAAGCCCTAAAATTTCTTAAAAATTACCCTAAAATTTGCCCTAATTTTTTGTCTGAAGGTGCTGGACAGCCTGTAATTACAGAGTTATTGCCCTTTGTTACTTTTCCTTGTCCGGGGCATAACTTGATAACTACTGGTTGGAATTCAAAACAACTTCATACAATTGTCAAACACAATAAGGGGAAGTGCAGTGCACAAGAACCATAACTCTATCTAAAGTAATTACAGAGTTATTGCCCTTTGTTGCTTTTCCAAAGTTTTTTTTTTTGTCCGGACCATAACTTGAAGACTAATGGTTGGAATTCAGTGTATCTACATACAATGGTCAAGCACATTGAGAGGAAGTGCAGTGCATAAGAACCATAACTCTATCTTGACTAATTACAGAGTTATTGCCCTTTGTTACTTTTCCTTGTCCAGGGCATAACTTGAAAACAACTGGTTGGAATTCAAAACAACTTCATACAATTGTCAAACACAATAAGGGGAAGTGCAGTGCACAAGAATCATAACTCTATCTAAAGTAATTACAGAGTTATTGCCCTTTGTTACTTTTCCATTGATTTTTTTGTCCGGACCATAACTTAGTTTAAACAATATTTTATTAATAATCCACACATTTACATAATAAATTACATAAAATAAAATTTACGGATTGAGTAGGAAGCTTGTAAAGCTTTTTTGAAAACTCTCTCCGTAATCAGTATTTAACAAATTTCAAATAAATGGTAACAAAATATAAATATCTAAACAAAACTATACATATCATATCGACTTGTTCTTGCTTTCTTACTATACATACTATGTTTATGTCAAGTATTCATGAACTAAATTTAAGATACATTGCTGTTAGATTAGAGGTATAAGCACGAGTATGAATTCATTTATATAGGCCCGTTTGAAAAACGGGACGTATTATGGGAACGCCCCTGGCGAGCGGTCGGGCGGGCGGGCGGCGTCCAATTTTGTCCGGAGCATATCTCCTACATGTATGGAGGGATTTTAATGAAACTTCATAGAAATGTTCACCACTATGAGGAGCAGTGTCGCGCACATGAACCAGGTCTCTAGGTCAAAGGTCAAGGTCACACTTAGAGCTCATTGAAAAACGCTTGTCCGGAGCAAAACTTCCACATGTATAGAGGGATTTCAATACTACTTGGCACAAATGTTCACCATTGTGAGGCGGAGTGTCGCGCGCAAGATTCAGGTCCTTGCGGCCAAGGTCAAGGTCACACATAGAGGTCAAAGTTCAGATAAAAATATGAAGATGTGTATATGGACCATTTAGTCATCATTTATTGAGGGATTGTAACACAAATGGTCATTATCAAGACTATGGCTGTGATACATATAATTTAGGTCAATATATACAAGATCAAGGTCACTAAAGATGATGAAATATCCAGATTTTGTCCGGAGCATATCTCCTACACGCATGGAGGGATTTTAATGAAATTTCATAGAAATGTTCACCATTATGAGAAGCCATGTCACGCACATGAACTAGGTCTCTAGGTCAAAGGTCAAGGTCACACTTAGAGCTCATTGAAAAACACTTGTCCGGAGCAAAACTTCCACATGCATAGAGGGATTTCAATATAAGGCCATCCTTAAAAAAGTGTTTGCTTGCAGTAACGCGACCGACTCACAAAATTTGCCCCTACTCAGAAGTTTTTTTCATGGTCTGGATAAAAATTTATTTTTTTTGAATCAGAAAATTATGCCTTGTGCTTTGTTTTTGTTCTTTTAAAGGTTAATAGAAGAAATAAAATGTAGGTATTATTTAATTAGAATTCATTTATCAATTTATTAATTGTTACCAGATTATCAAAGCATATATTGTCCAGCATTTTGAAATTCCATGTTTATTTGGGAGTACAGTTCAATAAAAAAAAAAAAAAAAAAAAAAAATCGACCTACCTACCCACCTTGAAAATTCTGGGTCGGGTTACTGCAAACAAACATTTTTTTAAGGATGGCCTAACTTGGCACAAATGTTCACCATTGTGAGGCAGAGTGTCGCGCACAAAATTCAGGTCCCTGCAGCCAAGGTCAAGGTCACACATAGAGGTCAAAGTTTAGATAAAAATATGAATATGTGTATAGGGACGATTTAATCATCATTTATTGAGGGATTGTAACACAAATGGTCATTATCATGACTACAGCTGTGACACATGTACTTTAGGTCAATATATGCAAGGTCAAGGTCACTAAAGATGGTGAAATATTCAGATTTTGTCTGGAGCATATCTCCTACATGTATGGAAGAATTTTTATAATACTTTATGGAAATGTTCACCACCATGATATGTATTGCTCCATGCATGATCCAGGTCTCCAGGTCAAAGGTCAAGGTCACACTTAGAGCTCATTGAAAAACGCTTGTCCGGAGCAAAACTTCTACATTCATAGGGGGATTTCAATATAACTTGGCACAAATGTTCACCATTGTGAGGCTGAGTGTCGCACGCAAAATTCAGATCCCTGCAACCAAAGTCAAGGTTACACATAGAAGTCAAAGTTCAGATAAAAATTTGAAGATGTGTATAGGGACCATTTAGTCATCATTTATTGATGGATTGTAGCACAAATGGTAACTATCATGACTACAGGTGTGACACATTTAATTTAGGTTAATATTTGCAAGGTCAAGGTCACTGGAGATGATTAAATATCCAGATGTTGTCCGGAGCATATTTTCTACATGCATGGAGGAATTTTAATGTTACTTTATAGAATTGTTCACCACCATGAGACGTAGTGCCCTGCACATGAACCAAGTCTCTAGGTCAAAGGTGAAGGTCACAGTTAGAGCTCATAGAAAAACGCTTGTCTGGAGCAAAACTTCTACATGCATAGAGGGATTTCAATATAATTTGGCACAAATGTTCATCATTGTGAGGCTGAGTGCCGTGCATAAAATTCAGGTCCCTGCGACCAAGGTCAAGGTCACACATCCTGTGCATATCTTCCCTACTGATTTGTTTTAAGGTTCATTTAACAACACAGTGCCAAGAATAAAAACTTGCTTGCTAGATAACACTTATCCATAATGCCCCCATCTCCATCTAAAGCTTTCGTAAACGGGCGTATTTTGTGACTATGGCACCCTTGTTAAAGGGATCTATTGCTTAGTTTAACTTGCAGTGCACAAGAACCATAACTCTATCTAAAGTAATTACAGAGTGATTGCCCTTTGTTGCTCTTCCAAAGTTTTTTTTTTTGTCCGACCATAACTTGAAGACTAATGGTTGGAATTCAGTGTATCTACATACAATGGTCAAGCACATTGAGAGGAAGTGCAGTGCATAAGAACCATAACTCTATCTTGACTAATTACAGAGTTATTGCCCTTTGTTACTTTTTCTTGTCCAGGGCATAACTTGAAAACTACTAGTTTGAATTCAAAACAACTTCATACAATTGTCAAACACAATAAGGGGAAATGCAGTGCACAAGAACCATAACTCTATCTAAATAACTTCAAAATAACTACATACAATGGTCAAGCACATTGAGAGGAAGTGCAGTGCACAAGAATCATAACTCTATCTAAAGTAATTACAGAGTTATTGCCCTTTGTTACTTTTCCATTGATTTTTTTGTCCGGACCATAACTAAGTTTAAACAATATTTTATTGATAATCCACACATTTACATAATAAATTACATAAAATAAAATTTACGGATTGAGTAGGAAGCTTGTAAAGCTTTTTTGAAAACTCTCTCCGTAATCAGTATTTAACAAGTTATTGCCCTTTGTTACTTTTCCATTGCTTTTTTTGTCTGGAGACCATAACTTGAAGACTAATTGTTGGAATTCAATATTACTTCATACAATGGTCAAGCACATTGAGAGGAAGTGCAGTGCACAAGAACCATAACTCCATCTTGACTAATGACAGAGTTATTGCCCTTTGTTACTTTTCCTTGTCCAGAGCATAACTTGAAAACTACTGTTTGAAATTCAGTACAACTTCATACAGTTGTCAAGGACATTAAAAGGAAGTGCAGTGCACAAGAGCCATAACTCCATTTTGACAAAATACAGAGTTACTGCCCTTTGATACTTTTCCTTGTCAGGAGCATAACTTAAAACGTACTGGTTGGAATTCAAAACAACTTCATACAATGGTCAAGCACAATAAGAGGAAGTGCAGTGCACAAGAACTATAACTCTATCTTCAGTATTTATAGAGTTATTGCCCTTTGTTCCTTTTCTTTGTCTTTCTGGACTTATTACAGATTAATTCAATTAAACTTCATCAATGGCCAACCACATTGAAAGGAAATGCAACATACAAAAACCACAACTATCTTTAATTGCCCACAACCATAACTCTATATTTCAATTCTTTTACAAGGTATTCTGTTACTAGTAACATCCTCATTTCCGAAGCAGTCTTGTGGGGGTATTAATCACATTTAGTGATAGTTCTAGTTACTTCCCAAATTAGCAATTTTAGTGATATTTCTTCCCAAAATCAAGAGTCTAAGGTCATTCAAATTAAGTGAGAAAAACCACTGCCTTAACCTGCTTAAATAGAAAGTGATCAGCCTTTGCCAGCACCATAGAGCTGGGTCTGCATGCACATCCTTGCAGTCTGACCAGGATCTATAAAATTTGCTGCTCAAGTTCACATTTGCCTTGATATCCTTAAATGTGATAATAGGCAATTAGGATTGAAAATACAAGCTGAAATTTATGTACTGTTTCCCAAGTTCTTATTTGGCAGCCATGTTATGAATTGTAGGTAATAATTATGCCCTCTGAACAATTCCAGAACAGGAAGCTAGACAAGTCTATGTAAGAAATTCTGCAGGTTAAGAGTTATTTATTATACCCCCAAAAACGAAGTTTGGGGGGGTATATAGGAGTCACCCGGTGGTCGGTCGGTCGGGCGGTCGGTCGGTCGGTCGGTCTGTCCAGACGTCCGTTGCATTTTCCTTGTCCGGAGCATAACTTGAAAACTAATGGTTGGAATTCAAAATAACTACATACAATGGTCAAGCACATTGAGAGGAAGTGCAGTGCACAAGAACCATAACTCTATCTTGACTAACTACAGAGTTATTGCCCTTTGTTACTTTTCCTTGTCCGGGGCATAACTTGAAAACTACTGGTTGGAATTCAAAACAACTTCATACAATTGTCAAACACAATAAGGGGAAGTGCAGTGCACAAGAACCATAACTCTATCTAAAGTAATTACAGAGTAATTGCCCTTTGTTGCTTTTCCATTGTTTTTTTTTTGTTTGTTGCATTTTCCTTGTCCGGAGCATAACTTGAAGACTAATGGTTGGAATTCAATATAACTACATACAATGGTCAAGCACATTGAGAGGGAGTGCAGTGCATAAGAACCATAACTCTATCTTGACTAATTACAGTTATTGCCCTTTGTTACTTTTCCTTGTCCGTGGCATAAATTGAAAACTACTGGTTGGAATTCAAAACAACTTCATACAATTGTCAAACACAATAAGGGGAAGTGCAGTGCACAAGAACCATAACTCTATCTAAAGTAATTACAGAGTAATTGCCCTTTGTTGCTTTTCCATTGCCTTCTTTTTTTTGTCCGGACCATAACTTGAAGACTAATGGTTGGAATTCAATATAACTACATACAATGGTCAAGCACATTGAGAGGAAGTGCAGTGCACAAGAACCATAACTCTATCTAAAGTAATTACAGAGTAATTGCCCTTTGTTGCTTTTCCATTGCCTTCTTTTTTTTGTCCGGACCATAACTTGAAGACTAATGGTTGGAATTCAATATAACTACATACAATGGTCAAGCACATTGAGAGGAAGTGCAGTGCATAAGAACCATAACTCTATCTAAAGTAATTACAGAGTTATTGCCCTTTGTTGCTTTTCCATTGCCTTCTTTTTTTTGTCCGGACCATAACTTGAAGACTAATGGTTGGAATTCAATATAACTACATACAATGGTCAAGCACATTGAGAGGAAGTGCAGTGCATAAGAACCATAACTCTATCTAAAGTAATTACAGAGTTACTGCCCTTTGTTACTTTTACTTGTCCAGAGCATGACTTGAAAACTACTGGTTGGAATTCAAAACAACTTCATACAATGGTCAAGCACAATAAGGGGAAGTGCAGTGCACAAGAACCATAACTCCATCTTAACTAATTACAGAGTTATTGCCCTTTGTTACTTTTCCTTGTCCAGAGCATAACTTGAAAACTACTGTTTGGAATTCAGTACAACTTCATACAGTTGTCAAGGACATTAAAAGGAAGTGCAGTGCACAAGAGCCATAACTCCATTTTGACAAAATACAGAGTAACTGCCCTTTGATACTTTTCCTTGTCCGGAGCATAACTTAAAACGTACTGGTTGGAATTCAAAACAACTTCATACAATGGTCAAGCACAATAAGAGGAAGTGCAGTGCACAAGAACTATAACTCTATCTTCAGTATTTATAGAGTTATTGCCCTTTGTTCTTTTTCTTTGTCTTTCTGGACTTATTACAGAGTAATTCAATTAAACTTCATCAATGGCCAACCACATTGAAAGGAAATGCAACATACATGAACCACAATTATCTTTAATTGCCCACAACCATAACTCTATATTTCAATTCTATTACAAGGTATTCTGTTACTAGTAACATCCTCATTTCCGAAGCAGACTTGTGGGGGTATTAATCACATTTAGTGATAGTTCTAGTTTAAGCTCATGTGAGAAACAAGTTCTGCCAAACAAGTTCTCACAACATATATGAATAACTTTCAAGAACACTTCATGTGCTACATATATTCTTCACTGCTATTGGTTCGAATCCCTACATAGACTTTGGATTCTGTTATGTGAGGAAGCTATCCAGCTAGCTAACGGAACATTTGTGGTTCTACTCAGGTGCCTATTCGTTCCCAAAATAATGCAAGGAGGGACAGCTGAGGTCTTCATCAATCATTAAAGCTGGAAAGTCACTATATGACATATGCTGTGTCAGTGTGTCGTAAAACCCAACAAATAGAATTTTGTTACCTGTATTTCATAGGAGTGAGAAAACATTGTGATAGCTCAACTAAGGTTTCCCTGCATATTTATTTCATTGTGTAAATTTTGCAGTGAACATATATTTTGTGTATTTCAGGAATGCAATGATCTAATATTGTTACACCTTGGCTATCTAGACTACACATATTACATCATCAATATTAACTTTCACGGTCTGGAGAAACAGGCCCACTTTGATATCAAAAATATCATATTCCATGTAAGTACATGTACTATTTTACACAGATACTGTTAATACATTTTGCGATCTAAATAAAGTCTATTGGTATAATACATATTATATAATTATTATCTTAATATCATATCATGGCATCAGCTTTGTTGTAAAAGCATTTCTGTATATATTTTGTAAATGAATATCATGTACGTAAAATAGTTTTTCTGAAATTGTAAATGGTCGACGATTTTTTATGAATATCTTGTTTGTAAAATAGTTTTGCTGAAATTGTAAATGGTTGACAATTTTATCCAACAGGATAAATATATATATATTTTATTTTGACAAGTGTAATAACAAGGGTAAAAGGTTTTTTATTCAAGTTTGAAATTTGAATATGATTTTCTTCTATTACAGTTCAAGAGCTATAATACAGCTTTTACCAAGCTGGAAATTTGGTTACGGTTTTCATTTCTTGTGTTCACTTTCATAGCTACGGTAAGACTTTTATGTTACTTTTTAGCTCACCTGTCACTTTGTGACAGGGTGAGCTTTTGTGATCGCTTTTCGTCCGGCGTCTGTCCGTCCGGCGTCCGTAAACTCTTACTTTAAATGACATCTTCTCATAAACCACTGAGCCAATTTCATCCAAACTTCACAGGAATGTTCTTTTGGTGGTCACCTTTGAAAATTGTTCAAAGAATTTAATTCCATGCAGAACTCTGGTTACCATGGCAACCAAAAGAAAAAACTTTAAATATCATCTTCTAAAAAACCAAAAAGAGCTAGAGCTTAGATATTTGGCATGAAACATCTTCTAGTGAGTGTCTATCAAGTTTGTTCAAATAAAAGCCCTGGGTTCAAAATTGGCCCCGCCCCAGGGGGTCATTGATTTTCCCTATATGTATATAGTAAAAACTTTAAAAATCTTCTTTTAAAGAACCCAAAGAGCTAGAGCTAAGATATTTAGCATGAAACATCTTCTAATGGGTGTCTACCAAGTTTGTTCAAATAAAAGCCCTTGGGTCAAAATTAGCCCCGCCCCAGGGGGTCATTGATTTTTCCTATATGCATATAGTAAAAACTTAAAAATCTTCTTTTAAAGAACCAAAAGAGCTAGAGCTATGATATTTAGCGTGAAACATGTTCTAATGGGTGTCTACCAAGTTTGTTCAAATAAGAGCCCTGGGGTCAAAATTGGCCCCGCCCAGGGGGTCATTGATTTTCCCTATATGAATATAGTAAAAACTTAAAAATCTTCTTTTAAAGAACCCAAAGAGCTAGAGCTAAGATATTTAGCATGAAACATGTTCTAATGGATGTCTACCAAGTTTGTTCAACTAAGAGCCCTGGGGTCAAAACTGGCCCTGCCCCAGGAGTGTCATTGTTTTTAAATACTAGTATATGAGTAAAGAAAAAACTTAAAAAATCTTTTTTTAAAAAACCCAACAAGCTAGACCTTAGATGTTTAGCATGAAACATCTTCTAATGGGTATCTACCAAGTTTATTCAAATAAAAGCCCTGGGGTTTAAACTTGCCCCGCTCCGGGGGGGCCTATATACAGGTGAGCGACTTCAGGGCCATCATGGCCCTCTTGTTTATATAACCTTTTGCAACTTAAATTAATGTGTTCCAGAATAAAAAAAGGAAATTACAGAAAGCCAGATGTCCTTTTTCCAGGGTTTGACCTAAACATACAATTTTAACAACTTAAAAAAAAAATTATCATTTGTACAGAGATAGGGAATATTCCCATTGTTCAAAGATTGGGGAATATTCCTCTTTGTTGAAATCCTCAAAATCAGATTCTGTTGTAATGCCGAAGATGCAAAAGTTAGGGCACATTTGTATAGTCCTTTACCTGCTGAATTTATGTAAAAGATTTGAATACCCTTGGTGTTTGTAGCTATATGACTAAGGTAGAAATTACCTACAAATATATAAAATTCACATCGTACCTGTATGATACTCCAAATCATTATTATTTGTGGGACACTAATTTTAGTGGTTTTCATGGATAGGTTAATCCATGAATTTAAGATCCAATGAAATTTTATTTGGTCTGCTTTAAGATTATTTTGCATCACATTATTTACATTTTACCTTTAGGACAAATAAACAGTCCCTGAGTTTAAGTACCCACAAAAATGTTCTTTGTAAGAAAACCATGAAATTTCATGCCTACAAAATCAAGTGTATTCACAGTATTTGATTCTTTCCTATCATTTACTCATTCTTATCCATGATAATAGAACCCATCATAAACTTATGGTTATTAACTTATATTTCAGATAAGAAATGGTCATAATACATATTTATACATATTAACTAATGATTTTATCAATATTCCATTTAATGATTTTTCAGTGCTCATTTGCTCATTCATTGAGAAAGTTTACAATGCGAGACTGGTCAATAGAACAAAAATGGATGTCCGTACTGATGCCACTTCTTCTTCTTTATGATGGTAAAATCTTTATTATCTATTCAATTAATTCCTAATCTAGTTTAAACATAAGCTTAATTTTAAATCAAGCACTAATCCTTCTATAAATATCTTTTGAGTCTGGACTGGTATAATAAGAGGAAAATTTGTTAGAATTACCGGTTGGATCCTTTGGCTTGGCTCTGTCGACACTGATCTTGTACATTGAGTTTAATGGTCATTTGTCTCCCACTGCTGATTCAGAAATCATGTGAGATTAGTAGTCGGTCAATCGCGAAGAAATTGTTAATTTCTGGTCAGTTATCCAGGAAAGCTGGTTAGTTGGTCCTACTACTGCTGAGACGTTACCAAACATGCGATAGAATCAGTGTGACAACCAAAACAAACAGTTATTTAAAGAACAATTTATCTTGAATCCCACAATACATTATAGATTTAGATTGAATATTTTGATATTAGAGATGTTGTTTTGAATTTCTTGCATGCATTTTAAATATGTTCGATTACTATAAACTTTGTTTTATATTCACTTGAAGTGTCCCCTTGAGACATGCAGATATTTATTTAAACTGTTTCTAAATTTTATCTCTTGAATTTCTCTACATATTCCAATGAAATATCTCCACCGATCAGGGGTAGACATCTAACATGCATTATTTGTTTGTATCTTATCATGTTATACATATTTGATTACTTTACAGCTTTGTTGAATAAATGATTCAAAGCATCCCTTTATACATCGTCGGGTCGGATACCCACGGTTTATTAACATATAACATAACATTGTAAATGTTTATGGTTCGGCGATGGATATCTGACAATGCCTGTTTTAACAAACATGTACTCATAAAGGCACACCAAGCCTCAGAAATGAAATTTTTTTTCTTTCTGTATAAAAGGCAAACCTGTGTTTTATTATATTGTGAGAATAATTGACTTAGGACATTTGAGATGCTTATTGCCTGATGAAAATAGTGCTGGATGTGAAATAGTTTGTGATAAAGCTAGCTAAGTAGTAATTAGACTTCCATACAATATGTATTACATGTATTAATGGCCAAAATGAAAGAGAAGAAAAAACGGCTCAGCTATATGGCAAAAAGTCATTTTGGAAACTGTAACAAGACATCAAAACAACTTTTTTTTTCAGAGTAATGAAAATACATATTTAGCATTTTTGGGCTTGATGGACCTTAAATTTTCATTACAACTTTTGTTTACTTCATGTATTTATAAGTATGTCAGTTATTATTGATCTATCAAATGTAATAAATTTTATTTCATATTTGGTCATGTTTAATAATTATTTATGTTGATAAGAATGAGTCAATTTTGTATTACAGATCCTATATTTCCGTTGACTTTCCTTGTTGATAGCTGGGTACCGGGAATGTTTGACGGGATATTTCAAGCATCATTTCTGTGTGGGTTGTTACTGTTCTGGTTATGTATATACCATGGAGTTAGACAGGTAAAGATATTTAGAGTACACAATGTAATCATGTCATTATTTGATACAACATTTTAAAGCGGTCTTCAGCTTTAATTTCTTCAGCTTTAATTTTCTGTTGGAAAAACAATTCTTTTTTGTCTCAAACTAAGTATTTCAGCAATTTCATCTTGGAATAGTGCATCATATCACTGTGAAGCCTTTTTGAGGATGAGAGTTATTTTTAAAGCGTCAGTGATGTACATTTCTAAAAATAGAATATGGGAGAACACGCCGCGCGCCCCCTTTACATATACTTAAAATATATAGAGCAAAAAAAAATTCTTCTATTTTGTTGAATATGTAGTAATTAAAAATCGTTTTCCTGTGGAATGCAAGTTCATCTTCTTGCTGCTAACCTCAGTCAATTAATATTTGTTTTCAGACTGACAGACGGTTTTGGAAATTTTATTTCCCTAAGTTATTGATAGTTGGGTTAATTTGGATATCAGCGGTCACTTTGGCATCCTGGCAGGAGTACAATGAACTACAGGACCCAACATATTTTTACAGGCTTGATACAAGCAACTTTATGGTAGGTATAAGACTAAAATTGACATTTTCTCATTAGTTGTGACCCATTTCATTTTTTTGTAGTAATGAAAGTATAATGTTGAGCTCACAGTAAATATTTGGGTATAAGTTTGTGATTAATATGTACTAAATGTAGATTTTATTAGAACCAACCCGTGATACACCATTCAGTTATTGCATTTCACATTAATGCCAAATTAAGGCAAACAGTTTTAGCTTTAAGTTTAAACTCATTATTCAAGCTTGATTTAATAAAGTCTTTTTCACTTTCTCAACAAAAATTGTTGATCTATTTTCAGGGTTTTAAGATATTTTTCTTCATAGTTGGTAGTGTATATCTTCTCTATCTGCTGTATTTGTTGGTGCGAGCGTATGCTGAACTTAGATCCATGCCATACTTTGGTAAATATTTCATCTCACATATATTTGCTTTGATTAAATATAGTATTATTAAATAAATGTTTTTTGTTGTTTGTTTACTTTGGTTTAATTTTAGTTTTTTTTACTGCTGGTTATATTTCTCATAAAGGCACATCATACTTCAGAAATAAATAATTTATTTACTACGTACAAACAGCACACATGTTAAATAACTTTTAAATAATGGTTTAAAGCATGTTAGATGCTTGTTACCTGTTGAAAGTAGGGCTAAATGTAAAAAATTTTGTCATAAAGGTAGCATAATATAGTAAAAAAGTAGTATTTTGACTTCCAAAATTGTATTAGAATACAATATACAGGTTTAGCACTGGACTGACTTCTGGAATAAGTATAATTAAATTTGTGTCGATAACTATGTCAAAATTTCACAGAAGAGTTATCAAAATTTGTTATTTCCGAAATTATATTGATTTTTTAGCTCACCTTGCACAAAGTGCAGGTGAGCTTTTAGGATGGCCAACCAAATGGCGTCCGTCGTCTGTCGTCCGTCCACATTTTAAATATTCTAAGGACATCTTCTATGATACCGCAAGGCCAATGTTAATGAAACTTGGCAGGAATACTCTTTGTATGAAGCTCTATCAAGATTGTTCAAAGAATTCCATTTCATGCAGAACTCTGGTTGTCATGGCAACCGAAAGAAAAATCTTTAAATATCTTCTTTTAAAGAACCGTAAGAGCTAGAGCTTAGATATTTGGCATGAAACATCTTCTAATGAGTGTCTACCAAGTTTGTTCAAATAAAAGCCCTAGGGTCAAAATTGGCCCCGCCCCAGGGGGTCATTGATTTTCCCTATATGCATATAGTAAAAACTTAAAAAATCTTCTTTTAAAGAACCCAAAGAGCTAGAGCTAAGATATTTGGCATGAAACATCTTTTAGTGAGTGTCTACCAAGTTTGTTCAAATAAAAGCCCTGGGGTCAAAATTGGCCCCGGCCCGGGGGGTCATTGATTTTCCCTATATGCATATAGTAAAAACTTAAAAAATCTTCTTTTAAAGAACTGTAAAAGCTAGAGCTTAGATATTTGGCATGAAACATCTTCTAGTGAATGTCTACCAAGTTTGTTCAAATAAAAGCCCTGGGGTCAAAATTGGTCCCTCCCCAGGGGGTCATTGATTTTCCCTATATGCAAATAGTAAAAATTTAAAAAATCTTCTTGTAAAGAACCCAAAGAGCTAGAGCTAAGATATTTAGCATGAAACATCTTCTAATGAGTGTCTACCAAGTTTGTTCAAATAAAAGCCCTGAGGTCAAAATTGGCCCTGCCCCAGGGGGTCATAGATTTTCCCTATATGCATATAGTAAAACCTTAAAAAATCTACTTTAAAGAACCCAAAGAGCTAGACCTAAGATATTTGACATGAAATATCTTCTAGTGAATGTCTACCAAGTTTGTTCAAATTAAAGCCCTGGGGTCAAAATTGGCCCCGCCCCGGGGGGGTCATTGATTTTCCCTATATGCATTTAAAACTTAAAAAATCTTCTTTTAAAGAACCGTAAGAGCTAGAGCTTAGATATTTGGCATGAAACATCTTCTAGTAAATGTCTACCAAGTTTGTTCAAAAAAAGCCCTGGGGTCAAAATTGGCCCCGTCCCAGGGGGTCATAGATTTTCCCTATATGCATATAGTAAAAACTTAAAAAATCTTCTTTTAAAGAACCCAAAGAGCTAGAGCTAAGATATTTAGCATGAAACATCTTCTAATGAGTGTCTACCAAGTTTGTTCAAATAAAAGCCCTGGGGTCAAAATTGGCCCCGCCCCAGGGGGTCATTGATTTTTCCTATATGCATATAGTAAAAACTTAAAAAATCTTCTTTTAAAGAACTCAAAGAGCTAGAGCTAAGATATTTAGCATGAAACATGTTCTAATGGGTGTCTACCAAGTGTGTTCAAATAAAAGCCCTGGGGTCAAAACTGGCCCCGCACCGGGGTTCATTGATTTTCCTTATATGTGTATAGCAAAAACTTAAAAATCTTCTTTGAAAAAACCCAAATAGCTTGAGTTTAGATATTATACATGAAACATCTTTAAGTAAATATCTACAAAGTTTGTTCAAATATAAGCCCGGGGGTCAAAACTGGCCCTGCCCCAGGGGTGTCATTGTTTTTAACTATATGTGTATAGTAAAAACTTTAAAAAATCTTCTTTTAAAAAACCCAATGAGCTAGAACTTAGATGTTTAGCATGAAACATCTTCTTATGGGTGTCTACCAAGTCTGTTCAAATAAAAGCCCTTGGGTAAAAATTGGCGGGGGGGGGGGGGGGGGGCTATATACAGGTGAGCGACCTCAGGGCCATCATGGCCCTCTTGTTTCTTTTTCTATACTTTTACATGAGGAAAGCTTGATATATGATTCCAAAAGATTTTTTTTTATACAAGGTGATATTTTTTGTGTTTCAGATTTAAGACTGAAGTTCATGACGTTTCTAATGTTGATAGTTCTATCAATAAGCATTACTATCACAGTATTACGGTTTGGGCGGGCCGCGTTACAGGACAATTTTGTTGCGGAGTTGTCTACCCACTACGAGAACTCGGCAGAATTTGTAGCATTCTATGGGTTGTTGAATACATACATGTACACAATGGCGTTTGTGTACTCGCCCTCACCGAATGCAGTATTTGGTATGTTTTTGTCTGTGCACAATAATTGACATATTTCATATTACCAGCATAAATTTGTGATCTTTCACAGAAGAGCTGATTGTTACTGCTTATTCCTAAGGGCATTGACATTTAAGGCCTTTTTTTGTCGAAGTTATGCTGGTTCATTTATTTTGGACAAAAATTGTAAAATTTACATTTCTAAGGGGAATGAAAGAATAAGAAATTTGTGTTGTCTTGATATTTCACTGATTACGAAAAAATGTGCAGTGTTGATGAATAAATATTTTGACACATATCTGTTTGAAATAGGAGTAAAACTGTATTGGGCAGATGCTGTTAAGATTAAGTTTAATCAATTCTGTACGTTTTAACCATTCTATTTGACCTCAACAGCTTGATAAAATACATTTAAACATCAGTTATATTTTATACATTTATATTTGGAACATAGAAATTGTTTTCATGTAATAATATTTATTGTGAAAGTTTTCTGTTTTAGTCTGGTTAAATGTTTTCTTGTTTTTTTTTCAGAAACTCATTTCAAGGACAATCCCGGTCTTTCAATGTTGAATGATTCTGATGAAGAGGTGCATTATGGGTAGGTTTAAGTTAAAATCTCAATTTAACCATATTATTAACATTGAGTTGTTTTTTATTGCATATCATTTACTGATTTTCATTCATGAGCTGGTTTCTTTTCACTCAAGCACAGTCTCGTATTTTATTTTCTTTAAATTGTCTCCCTTACATTTCAATTTGTTTTTTCTTAAAATTGTCTCCCTTACATTTGTAATTTCTCTAAATTGTCTCTGTTACATTTGTATTTCCTTTAAATTGTCTCCCTTACATCTGTATTTCCTTTGGATTGTCTCCCTTACATTTATATTTCCTTTCAATTGTCACCCTTATATTTGATTTCCTTTGGATAATCTCCCTTACATTTATATTTCCTTTAAATTGTCTCCCTTACATTTGTGTTTCCTTTCAATTGTCCCCCTTATATTTGATTTCCTTTCAATTGTCTCCCTTACATTTGAATTTTCTTTAAATTGTCTCCGTTACATTTGAATTTTCTTTAAATTGTCTCCCTTACATTTGCATTGCCTTTAAATTGTCTCCCTTACATTTGTATTGCCTTTAAATTATCTCCCTTTCATTTGTATTTCTTATCATTTTCATATTTTTTTTTGCCAGATCTGACACAGAGAGTATAGGGCTGACTAGAGTGAGACCAAATGCTGTTGGGAAATATGACAGTGATTAGAGTTACCTTCCTTGGGACAAAAGTTAGCACCCTTGTTGTGACTAGAGTAACTTCCCTTTTAACAAGAGCTAGTGCCATTGTAACAAGAGTTAACTTATCTGTTATAAGAGTTAGCATCTTTGAGACAAGAATTCTTTTGACAATGACAAAAATGTGCACTCTTGGCTTAAGTGACAGGTTATTTCCCATGCGGCAAGAATCAAGTCTTTTGTTAAATAGAGTAAGCTCCTTTTAGACTAGAGTTAGTGCCCTTGTTATTGCAATATGACCAGACACTAGTCATGTTTTAAGTATCATTGATAAAATATAAAATGTAATCTCTGTGATGGGACAGTAGGTAAAATGTAGAATATTAAAAAGATAGTCTTGTGTCTGTGATTTCATCAAAAATTGAGAAAAGAAATGTTGTTGTTATTAGGTGATACTTTTTCCTTTGCATTTATTTGTTTTGTGAACATGTAATATTTTTCAAGAATATTGACATATATAAGATCCAAGCTTGCCAATATGTGAGATAGATAACAGTAGAAATTGTAAAATTATTAGATTTTTGGTGTTAGATAAAAAAATCGTGGGCTTGATAAATAACCATTAAATGTTATTAGTTCATATGAATAGATGTAAATTCATTCATCATATTAGAGTAAGTCATATTTGAATTATGGTGAATTTTTTTTTTGTAACAAAATCAGAAATCCACACTGTAGACGAAATTTTTGTTTTCTTATTCAAACCAATGTAAGACATGCATAACATTCCTTATATTTTTCTGTTGTTTTTAATGGTGTTGAATCCCAGTGGCCATGAAATTTTCATGTCTAGAATTTGTGATAATTGTGCAATATAGAGATATAGGTTTTATTTTTACTGAGGATTGATTTTAGTAGTTAATAGAGATCATATCCTATGGTTTAAAAAAAAGTGGAATATTTTTCAAATGTGATAGTTATAATTTTGCAATAGAGTGGGATAGTTTAAAGTAGTGTTGGTTAGTGACGTGTGCCTGTGGGATAAATCATTGACTTAAACTTTGATAGCCATGTGTACTTTAACACAAGATGCAACAGATAATATAAATAAAACAATGAAAGTACAGTGTAGCCCCTGCAGAGCACCCCCTCTGTATACCAATTTAACCTCTTTTAAACAACCATATACTTTTTTCCAAAAGTAAGGTGATAAAATATCCCAACAAATTCAATCTCTCTTGAGCAACAACTCTCAGCAACAAGCAAAATCTTTGTCTCCCAAAAGGTGTTGTTCTGCATAAACTTGTAAAGTTAATCCTTTTTATTACAATTTAGTACCATGGTATCGGCAATGAAATCCAAGGATTTTATAAAAAAGAATATAGTAATTTTACTGACCAAATCCTAAAATAACCTCATGTGATCAATATGGTTTTAATGAATATTTTTATTGATATTAAGCGGGAGGAAGCAATCTGAAAATTTAAGTAGTGAAGTTCAGCTAGTTATACTATTTTGAATTTTTTTAATTTTTTTTTGTAAATTTTAACAGTTAAGAAAAGAAAAACAATGTCTTATACATGTATTAGGAATGAAAATGGTACACTATGTACCGGAAGGCCATTTAACTAGACCAGCTTTGGTATATGTTTTAATTATGGGACTGTACCATAGATATACATTGTTTGTGATACAGTAACGAAAAGGGGACTATTGGAAGTCTGGCCCTGAGGTTATAAAACTTTTTTCTGAGCTGTATGTCAAATCTCAGGATTTCTATTGGTCAATGATTACCAGATTATTATAAAATAGAATCATATTAAATATCAATTAATTTTGTTTATTTATGCACTTATCAACATTAAAGTTCTAATTATTTATATTTACTTATTCTAATTATTAAGTTTTAAAGTACAAAATCAGTAAAATGAATGACTTTGAAAAATTATTGTTCTAATATTTTACGCCATATTTTACAAAATCCAATATTCACAACTTCAAATTTATTATGAAAAACTATTATACAGATATCTATATTTATCTATCTTTTTGTAAAAGTCAAATTGCTATTCATTGAAATAAAATGTAACTGCTTAATACATATAATAGGTCTGGTGCACTACATCTAGTGCACTCCTAGTGCACTTTATGTAACGTATAGTGTGAACTCAACTGTAGATTCTGTGTTTGTTTCTGACCAGTCAAATATCTGAGATCTGTGTTTGAGCTGAGAAATTTTGTGTATAACGGTTATAATAACCTCGGGTGCAGGTTTAATGTGATATATATATCATAGGGAAATCATCTAATAGTTGGATGCAAAGTATATTTTATAAGTTATAAGTTATTTCATCATGTGAATTTTTTAAATTAGGACTGTCAATGTTTTTTTAAAAGGTGTCAAAGCAGTACTGTGGAGCATCTATCAATTAAAACTGATTATTTTGTTTCAAATATATATACGAGTATAAAAAAAGTAGTGGAAATTTGAGTTTAAAAACAAAAGCATAATCATATATCATGTTGCTATGAAGTAATCATATTTTGTACATTGTTTTATCATATTTGATGTGCATCTTGGTTGTGTGAAAATATAAAATAAATATGTTTGTATATATAGTGCATAATTTATTTACATACATTGTAATAGAGCGCAATACGGTGCTTTATTTTATATGGACAATAAGCATTCCATTGTTAATGTTTTATGATAATTTTTGAAACCGTCAGTCAACAGTCATAGGTTTATTGTTGTTGCTTGATTTAATTTCAGTGGTGTGCTATGGTTCTGTCCATTATGAAATTGTTTTTAGTTTGTCTATTTTGAAAAAAAAGGCGAGCTTTTATGGTTGCTTTGTCCCTGTTGCAGTCATACAAAAACTTTAATTTAGCCTATTTTTCTAAGAATTTAAGAGCTATCAACATGAAACTTGGAGTTCTTGCTTCTTATGTATTCTCCGAATATATTATATAGATTTATATGTATCATAATTATAATGTCCCTTTTTAACTTACTTTTTTGTTTGTCAAAAATAGGTTATCTATATATAGTCATGCACTCAACAGATGAGCGTGCAATGCTCTTATTTAATATTACTTTTCATATTTTAAAGAAATCTCAAATAATTATGCTGGCATTAAATTTTAATTGTTAATTGCATACAATCCTATGTTGTTGCTTTTGTTTTGTTCTGTCAATAGGAATATCATAATTTGCAGCTTATTTTTTTCCTGCAATTTTGAGCTAGTTAATATTGTAATATGTAATTCATTTATTCAATGAATCGTATCCCATTACTTGTTAGATATCAGAAATCCATGGCATTGGATATAAGCACTATCTTTATTACGCTGATCCTTTTGCTTTTATATCTAAAAAACCTGCATGGAATATTATAAGTGACTTATTAATAATAAGATTTTATGCAAAGCTTTGATAACCAGTCTAAATATTGAAAGAGTTTTATTGGTCATTATTCAAATTTGAATTGGCCAATCAGATGCAAGTATTTGAAACTCCTAAAACATGAATTTTGAACATCCAGGGAGAGTTTGCCAAAAGATTTGTTATTAATTATGTTTTAATTAATTTCTATATATTTAGCAAATGTTACCTCAATATAAAGTTCATGTTGATGATTTTTTTGCCATGTTTTACTTACCATAATAGTGATGTGTTCCAAGAATACGGTTCATTCAAAAGATGTTAAAGATAGTTGATATGTGTCAAAATTATGTGTAAGAATCATTTTTATATAATGAAAAATATATGTTAAGATGATTTATGGCTTTTTATGTACTCAGACATTTTTGCTTTCATATCTAGATAACTGATATTTAATCAAAGGTTTATCCAGCTAAACATGTGAAATAGCATACTGCTTTGAACTTCGAAAAAACCATTGTTTGTTAAAGATTAAGCAAAGATACTAAATTTGGCAAAAATGGAAGTACAGATGGTCTTGCAAATTTCTCTCCAAACCAAGAACTGGAAAAATAGATACTTGCCTAGATGAGGCTGTATACCCATTGCTGTTTTATTTTATTATTTTGATCTTGAAATCCCAACTTTGATTCTGCAATTCCAAAATTTATTATTTTGAAAAATGACTTGCAAATATACATGTGAACATAACTGTTTATTATACAGTTGTCCTATGAAAATGAATATGTTTGTTCATTATCCCGTTATCTTAGGAAAAATTATGTTCATTAATATCAAATTATCCGCAGAAAATTTACTTCAGTCATCCTATTAAAATGAATTTTATTGTTCATTCTCAAATTGAACAGAATGTTTTGCTAATTTGCTCACATTGGCGATAAAGGGCAATCCTAGCATTGGTTCAATGTTCACTGATTGTAGATACATTATTTTCCAGGTAGTTTTGTGATAAAAGTTTAGCTCCCCACCAAGTCAGTCGTAATTTATTAAATTTTGTGGTTTTAAGAATTTCGTTCTGTTTTTACTGTATTTAAAGTTGTTATATGTATTTCCCGAATCTATTATATATTATAATTATATAATGTCCCATTTAGTGCAATAGTATATATACATTATGTTGAGGGATCTGTTTTATTGTTAGATGTTTCAGTTTTGTATGTTATAAGAGATTCCATTTTGCCAACTTGATTGATAATCCCTGTATTGTTTTTTAGCTGTTTAACTGTTCACCGAGGTGTCGGTGTTGGTGTCAATGTCAAACTTTGGTTCAGTTTATGCATGCAAGTTGGTATCTCCAAAACTTCTGAAGTGATTGGGTAGAAAGTTCACATACTTACATTTGAGGACATACAGGGAGGTCACTGTCCAAGGCCTACAACTCTAACATGGAATTTGAAAGAATTATGGCCCTTTTATGACTAATAGAAAATTCTACATTATCCTGGCTCTTGTTGAAGCACCAATCTACATGTTTGGGAATATTCGAGCGTCCTGTCCTGCTGACAGCTCTTGTTATTGTGAATAATTGTGTTCTTTTTAACATGTTTTACATTAAGACAATATTTCAATGTTTTTGGTGTTAGCATAACATTTTATCATGTTTAATTAGATGAAAACATGTTAGGTCCTTGCCTTTTAGAAATTTTCCCTGTAGAATGGGAAGAGCTATGTCGGTAAAAAAAACTCATTTCATGCCAGATTTTTAGAACAAATGTTTTTAAAATGATTGATCCCCCCCCCCTTAGTTTTGGATGAAACTGGTCGGACATGTTGCTGTGTGTGTCAATATTTCTGTAGCATGGTTTTCCTTGAAATTCTGCCTTGGTTGTTAATGAGACAATAACCAAATTTCATTGAATAAATTTAATTGAAAAGCAAACAATTTACAATGGTAATTGGTACAGTGTTGAAAGTGCATTGAGAAGGTGTGTACTGTTGAAAAAATACGTATTTTGATTTTGTTTGATTTGTAACAGCATTTTTCCACAGTTTATTAATTTATTCCATACATTTACATAATGTAATTTGATCATTTTAAAATTTCATGAATTGTTACACCATTTTGTTTAGAAATAGGGTTTAATTTCTGTGCTGTATACGGTAATGCAAAATGCTAATGGAAATCCATTAAAAGAAACTCGGTGTTTGAAATCCATGTTATAGAAATTTTGAAACACAATTGGAATTAAATGTAGTGCAGTTATGTCATATTAAAAGCATATTTTAGTTAATAAAATTGAAAATTGATTGATTGTTTTCCTTATTCTTATGACCATATAAGCAGCATGAGGTGAGCTGAGCTAAGCTGAGCTGGGCTCGGCTGGGCTGGATGAAGCGTCATGAGATAACTTAGCTGAAGGGAGGTGAGGGCAGTGGAGGGAGAGAGAAAAAAGAAAGAAAAAGAAGAGGGAGAGAAATGGGAAGGGAAAATAGATATATATTTTTTTAAGAGTAGTATGAACAATATGTGGAAGTACAAATTATATGTTGGTCTATAGGTCACTATAAACCATACATTTTTCGCTTGACTATTCAAAGAATAGGGAGACTGCGAGAGCTATTGTACTCGCCCAGATGTCGGCATTTAGAATCACACTTTGGTTAAGTTTTTGCGTGCAAGTGTGTATCTCCAAATATACTGAAGGGAATGGGTTGAAACTTTACATACTTATTGAGAGCATTTTATGAGGTCTTATTAAAATCAACCATGTGTGACCAAAGTACAAAAACAAACTTACAGCAATGATGCTTGTATCAAATATGATGATAGAATTAATATTCTGTATTTATTATGAGACTACTTGGAAAAACATAAAATGTACCGCAAAAATGTCAATGCCAGTCAAGTCTCTTTGCACCATGTATTGAATTTTCTTTGTACACTTATTTTTTAATGAAAATTTAAACTAGAGCTGAGAATTTCCTTAAATTTGACATGATTAAAGAAAATAATAATTGAAAAAAAAAAAACAACATGAAATAATAATCCAAGGTCACCATCAACTTTAAGAGTTTTGTGCACCTGAAAGTGAGATTTAGCTCTTTTATGCAATATTCAAGAGCAGATAACTTAAAACCGTGGCACTCAGACCACATGTTTTATAATTTCATATTCCCTGTCATGGTGTGTAAAATTTGGCCTGATATTGGCCTGTCTTGATCAATATTATCAGTATTGACCTGTCTTGATCAATATTATCAGTATTGATCTGTCTTGATCAATATTATCGGTATTGACCTGTCTTGATCAATATTATCAGTATTGATCTGTCTTGATCAATATTATTGGTATTGGCCTGTCTTGATCAATATTATCAGTATTGACTAGTTTTGATCAATATTATCAGTATTGACCTGTTTTGATCAATATTATCAGTATTGGCCTATCTTGATCAATATTATCAGTATTGACCTGTTTTGATCAATATTATAAGTATTGACCTGTTTTGATCAATATTATCATTTTTGACCTGTCTTGATCAATATTATCAGTATTGACCTGCTTTGATCAATATTATTAGTATTGACCTGTTTTGATCAATATTACTAGTATTGACCTGTCTTGATCAATATTGACCAGTCTTGATCAATATTATTAGTATTGACCTGTTTTGATCAATATTATTAGTATTGACCTGTCTTGATCAATATTGACCAGTCTTGATCAATTTTATCGGTATTGACCTGTCTTGAACAATAGAATCAGTACAGACCTGTCTTGGTCAATATTAAAGTTATTGGACTGTGTTGATCTTGGCCTGGTTTGATCAAATATTACATGTACTTCAGATCACTAATGTTGGTTCATGCAATACTATGAAGTTCATTTATTTGTTAAATTACTTGTGCATTTTGAAATGCTTTTGTGCCTTATTTACATCACGGATTTATATTACACAGATTTATATTATAATATAAATCCGTGTTTACATTTAGGCCTACTTATCTGCGCAAAATAATTTTCTTACCGTTGTATGAAAAGAAATATCCATAGACTTTAATATAAAAGTATCCAAGTGTATTTGTAAGCTTTTATGGTGTTTTTAATAACTTTAGATAAGGTGGTTTAATATACTTCCACCTGCTTCCTACATAACATGGAATTCTATATCCTGCTTTACCAGGATTTAGGACAGGCTTAGGGCGGGGGAGTTGGGGGCGTGGCCAAGTTGTTAAGGTTAATGATGACACTTTTTTAGTAACATCAGAAATCAAAGCACAGATGGCGCTGAATTTGTTTGGGTCTCAGAATGTCAGAAAGTTTAAGGTTTAACACTAATATTCAATGTTTGTTTGACTTAAACAATTAATTAGTTGCCTTAACTGGGATTTGAACTCCAGACCTCTCGATTCCTTGCAAACCCCTCGGACACGGTGAAGTTATATGTTAACGGCCTAAAGAAAACCATATCATTCTAAATTAGGGTTTGTAACACTTATTATTTCGACGCTAAACCTGTTGTTTAACACAGATGTAAATAATCATGGAGCTAACTATAAGCACGTATATCGATAAAGAATAAAACAATATTAGAAATCTTCGACCATTCGGGAACTATTTTGCTTGAATATTAATGCGCCTGTCATTTGACAATCTTTCCGCAGTGATCTCCCCTGAATTTTACGGCATAAGTGTACATATAAAGGGAAGTAACCGTTTCAAAAAAGCGGACTTCTTTCGGCATTTGCAATTAACATCATCAGGGTCTGAAATTTCGCTACCATTATTTGTTTGGTCTGACGACCCAAACAAATAAAAATGACGGTTTTAGAATGGAGACATCTCCGTTAAAAATGTGTTACATTCAATCAAATTTTAGTTCTACAAACCTCTCAAAAGGGTTTTTAAATATCCCGAAACCAAGTGCCTATGACCTGGGACAGAAGAGCGTATCTTTCTGTTACCCAGCAATATAGCTAATAGTATAAAATAGACGTTTCCAGGTAATTTTTTGAATATTTCTTTTTAGATTTGGAATTTGAGGAAAACAGAATTATAATTTACATTTTTGTATCATCATAAACTGATAGACCCTTGAAAATTTGGTTTGTATTGATTTTCTATCGCGAAACTAGTAGTGTTCAACCTAAATTAAAAGCGTCTGTAGAATTAGTGTACTCAGCTCGACGGAAAGCAGTTTTCACGAATAATATATTTCTCAGTTCACAACACATGTCGAAAATGTAAATAAAAATGTGGTTTTTGTAAATTCAAGCTCACAGGTTAGAGAAAATGTCACATAACTTTATTATTGATATAATATATTACAACTTTAGCGCCTGAAAGTTTCTTGTCACCCTTCTATTATCTCTCAGAAACCGTTTGTAACTACTTTTCGCGACGTTGCTTAATTACGCTGCATGTAAATATCTAAAATTCGGTCAGGACTATTTGTTTACTAAAAAAAAAAAAAGCCTAACATTTATTTTTCTATACAAAATCACTTGCGTTAGGGTTAGTGTTCCACTTTCAGACTTTTGCTATTTGTATATGCAGTATTTCAATAGAGTGGAAGTCAATGTTAGAGAATTCGCTTTGCCATATCTTGTTCAGTTGTCGTTCATGTTTAAAACATGGTTGCTACGAAGCGTTGTCAAAACGACTTCTGCTACACTAAGTGTACATGGCTTTTACAACTAATATATCAGCCAAACAAATTAAAACAATACACATAAACTACACATAGTTGTGTTCGGTATTAATATTTTGCATTTTCATAGTCAAACAAATATCTCAATACTCCCAATGTACATAATGTATTGTTAACTTGATGACAGCTAGTTAGCAGGCGAATGCTGTGTGTTAGATTACTTCCAATCCAGAAAATTCCTTTGTTTACCACCAAAACTCAGGTTTACCATAGCAACCATATATAGATAGAAAGCAAATTATATATGGTTAATGGGAAAAATATCTGTTTCTTGAAAAAAGGTAGAAGTAATAAATAAAGGTCCCTGTATGTTCGATTTAAAGGGGAATAATTTGGCAGAATTTTAGACAGGGAAACAGGAGTTATCATTCTTGGCTAGGGAATGTGGCCTACTGAAATCATGCAAGCGAGTTGGTGTGTTTTGGGTGAGGGTTAGGATTGTAGAACAAGGATTTTGCTGTGGACAGATTCTGAAAATGCTAAATGAGTATCATGACTTTGTTTTTTCTATGAGATTGATATGCTTTAAACATAATCATGTCCTGTCCAGGATTTCGTGATTTTTATGGAGAGTCTATAAATTTATATGGGTTAGTCCACAGACACTTGGGGTTCAAACAACATCTTCTGCCATGTAAACGGTGGATAAAAAAACTTTTTACACAAATGGGATATCTGTCTTATTTAAAATTGTTTTTAAACCACCATCACAAGAATGAAAAAATCCCATTTACCGTCAAGTCTCAAAAAAGTAAATATTTCAGACGCCTATCTTTGGTAGTTTTGATAAAAAGACCCGAGTTTTGTTGACATTATATTAATTTATTTCAGTTTATGTTGTAGAAAATGGAGCTAAAGACATACGATTTAAATCCTCAGTTTTCAATCAATGGGTTGAAATTCCGATTTTACTCTGCAGCAGAAATCATTGCATTGAGTGTGAAGGAAATTACAAATGTTGAAACATTTGACAATCTCGGCCATGCCAATGTGGGTGGACTGTATGACCCAGCACTTGGTAAGTGAACAAGTTGAGAACATTTGTGTTTTTATTAATAACTAGTCTCTGACGACGTGTCTTTTTACTTTTTAAACTGCTGAATTTGCAAGGATTGAAAAATATTTTCAGAGTCATTCTTCCTGCAGGACGAGAAGCTTCTAAATCCAATGTGCAGGTAACATATTTCTTCTCGTCCTGAATTGAGTTCTCTTAAATTCTACTTGTAATTACGAGTGAATGGGTGGACAAATGGAATTTTCAATCTCTGGTTTTCAGTAAATTTGTCCAGCTTTGAATTCCCATTCCATGAAAGATTTAACAATTTTTTTTTCTTATATTAAGACAAATATTGAGCTTCTTACACTGTAGAGATTCTGTTCCTACTGCACAGATGTGCAGTTTGAACTAGCTCTATACATTGTCACATTTTCGTTATTCACTTTCAGTTCCAGCAGGTTAAGGCATCACAATGGTTTTAAATTTTTGTGACACTGTCCATTTGTAGTAAAAAGTAATTAACCCGACACATATATTATAATAAAAGGTGGTGCCGTCTTTGATTTTCTTTGATTAGTGCCGCATTGATTTACTATGATAAAGGGCCTTAGGGTCGGCAAAAGCATTTAAACTGGATCATTTAAAAACCTGTCTACAGTTATATGTGTTTTTTAATATTTCATTGTTAATTGATAACTGACATGATGGTAAAGATAATATCAGTCAATATTTTATTTTACACTAATCTTAATTTGTATGCTTACACATAAAATTTTGTAATATTTACATGTAGACTTTTAATATTTACAGATTGAATTTGTAATATTCTAACCATATGATTTGTAATATTTACCCATATAATTCATTATAATAGCAGACAAGTTATACTGTTTAAGTAATTCTTGAATTTTCATGGTTTTAAAGTAGCCTGAATAATACACTGCTAATAAATGTGTTATTGAATTTGTTGATTTCAGGTAGTAGTGAAAAGTTTGATTCGTGTTCCACTTGTGGGCTCGTCAGTCAGAACTGTCCTGGACATATGGGGCATATAAAACTGGCCATACCATTGTTTAACACAGTCATTTTCCCTACTTTATACCATGTAAGTACTTACATGACTTCTTCATGGAATTTTTTATTTTTACTTTGTTTACAACAAGCTTAAGGAACTGTAAGTGATTACACCAAGTTGTTTTAATTTTGTTTGTTGCCTGCCAGATGGACATCTTGGGGTATCATAACAAGGACCCACTGAAAAAAACAACAACAAAAAACATGTGAGAAAACATGAACTGATTAATGATGTATGGTAGTCAGAGCTGCATATTTAATAAGAGAAATTTTTCAATTATCTGAAAGACTTTCTTCATGAAATATCTGAATAGAAAAATTCAGTATACGATTGATCTTTAAGACAAATATATGCAGAAATAAAGACTTGAAAGAACACTGTTGGTTTAACAGCCAACTTAAAACCCAACCAGATAAATAAAAAAAACCCCAAAAAACTAGAAGGAAATAATGGGCAAATCCATTTAAGATATTTAGCATGATAAGGGTTAAAGTTATAATAATATTTTGCAGCTTTTGAAGGCAGTGTGTTTTAAGTGTAACAGACTATGTGTGGAGCAGACAGCCGAAGAGTTATTTTTAGCACAGTGTAAGTTACTGGATGAAGGTCTGGTAGCCGAGGCCAGCGATCTACAGACTATATTTGCAGAGACTGGAAAAGCTGAGAAGACTGAAGAGATAAAAGTTTTTACAGAAAATGCTTTAAATGGTAAATATGTCCTCTGTTATTGTATGAGTTCTGAACATTACACAAAGACACATTTAAGTTTTCCCTCCAGCGTTAAGCAAAATATGTCCTATACTAAAAATCTTTACAGACTTTTACAGAACAGGTGTGAGTAAACAGTCTGTTTGTCATTTTTTTTTAAAGAAAAATATAAAACTATGATTTATGTTAAAATCTGTTTTTCCAGAGAGAAAAAATGGTAATTTGAAGGTGACGGCTGTAAAGAATTTGGAAGCTGTGAAACTAGAGATACTGAAAAGTTTTATGAAAACACACGTCAAACATCATGCACGATGTGTACACTGTACAATACGTATGCCAAAGCTTAGAATGGAGTACCACTCGAAGATCTTTATGGTGGGAGGAAACACAGTATTTAGGTATTTTGCTTTAGACATTTATGAAATTTCAGCTTCCTTAATATAGCATACAGAGATCTGCCCAGAATTTGAAACTTCTGGGACCTGGGCCAGCTTGGTCTGAAAATGATTTTAGTAAAACCATGGGCCATTTTAGAAAAACCATGGGCCATGGGTAAATAATATAACTTTGACCAAAATTATTGTAATTTTGTGTAAATTATACTGTAATTTGACCTAAACGATGGTATTTTGGTATAAAGTATACTTTTCAAATTATCAGTGTTTGGTAAATAACTGTGACCATTATTAAAAGTTGTGCGCTTATCAATTTGTACTACGAGTACACACTACAATTAAAGTGACCATCTTTTTTTTTGTTTCAATTTACGAATACACAACTCAAAGTACATTTACCAGTAAATATTGTGAATGCTTTTGACTGGATGACTAAAAAACCTAACAGACAGGTTTTGTTTTCATCACAATACAAGTTAGGTGCAGATTTAAGACACGCTCATGACCCTTTGAAACCGCCTGCATGGTCGAGGGGTTAGAGTCGATGACTTCTAATCCAGTTACCTCTCTGGCATGGGTTCGATCCCCGGGAGATGCTTTGGTAGTTTAGCACGGAGGAAGGTAGTCTAGTACTGGTGTAATTCTCCAGGAACGATGGTTAGGAAACTACCCGCCTATATGACTGAAATACTGTTGGGAAAAGGCGTAAAATGAAACAAACAAACAAACAAATCATGACCCTTTGCTGCTGATTTTCCTGCACCATTTTCATTTTTAAGCTCCAATAGTGCAAAATTACATACTCAGCAGATCTCCAAGCATGGTCATTCAGGGTCTGTATTGAGTGGTGGGGAACATGCTAGGTTTTTGACCATAGCAATTAAATCTTTTACAGTTATGGGTTTAATCTGTATTTGCATTACAGGCATCGACACTAACTTTTTTAGCAGGTGGTAAGCCGGACCACTAGGTTTGAAATTAAGGTGGTCCTTCCAGAAGTCAGGTGGTCAATTTTTATTATTATATAATTTACTGCAAATTTAGAAAATATATGCTTAAATTGATGACAAAGATGTATTAACCTTCAATAAAACAGATATTTTAGTCTAATCAGAAATTAAGTAGAGCAAGTTAGTAGGTAAATCTATCGTGAAGTTATTTGTTTGTTTCTTTATCTCATTAAAATATAAACAACAGGACTCTTATTTATGTTACTTTTAATATTGAAGGGAATAGTGAAACCATTTGTGTCTGTTATTTTCTGACTTTTATTCAAATATACATTGCTGATACGTGGTATGTCTTATAATCATGATAATTGCATGTATCTTTTATAGATTAACATTTTTAATAAAACTAATAAATTATCTTATTCTTGTCTTTGAAAACAAGGAAATATCTAAAGGATAAAAAATGATAACAATGTTATATATAACTATATTTAAGATTATTTTTCTCATTGATTTATTATGAAAACAGAATATTTACCTCCCTGTTGCTTGTTGGTTGATATTTATTTTTGACGTTGAATATTTTTAACCTTTTTAAAGTAATTTTAACTCTGGAAGAAATGGATCTCTTATCGTTAAACAGTTAAAATAAAGAAAAGTAGCAAAGAATTACAAGATGTATTTTTACAGATCCTTTCGTTTGCTGTCATTATTCAAGTCAAGTATATAAACTTTTAAGTTTATCCGAAACACCATACAATATCATAATTACCATCACCGGATACCCACGGTTGATTAAAATGCAACAGAACATAAATGTAAATGGTTCCGCCGTGGGTATCCGACGATGCATAATTACTAGCATCATTTGACAAAATTAATATCACAAATTCTTAACTCGTTTAACTTGCATAAACAAAATATTAGCGACTGAAAATTAAAGTTATTGATGACTTAAGAACTTCTTTAACTAATCAGAGATTAATGTATTTTGTACTTTTTATGAACCATATACATGTACATCGGACAAATGATTTTAAACAAAATGTATATAACATGTTTTTGACCATATCGCCATTCTCCTAAATGAGCCTTGCACCACCCAGAAAATTCTAGTGGTCCGACGGACCACTGGCTTTTAAAATTAGGTGGTCCTTGACAAAATCAGGTGGTCTCGGACCAACGGACCACCGCTAATGTCGAGGCCTGCATTAGGATAAACCTGGACTTTGCTAAAGTTTTATTAGGAAAGTGTCTTGCATTGAAAAATTAATGACAAATATTGCCTATACATCAATTGCTTGCTTGCTTGCTCACATGACAGAAAACAAGGCAACTGTGCAAAATTTTCATTAGCAGAATTTAAATGCGTTGCTTTAAACTTGCTTCAGAGTTATTAAATATTTATGTTACTATTTATAGTAAAAATAATGAAAGCGACGACGATGATGATGAAAGTGATGATGAAGATGGTGAACCAAGAAAGAAGAAACAAAAAATGCAATCAAAGAGTAGCGGCAGTAGAAAGAGTAGTGACGTTACCCTTCTTACTCCATATAATGTCAGAGGTATACATATTTACATGTGCTATTTGTGTTCGTGAAAATAGTTTTCCACTTTTGTTTTTGGAATCTTCTACCATTAATTAATCATGAATTGGTACCAGTGAATTTACCCATATTCAGAATCATGTCTTTCAGAGTGGGGATATTGAGATAAATTGGTTCTAAGATTCAGTATTTTAAGTTGTGTATGGTGTAAAAGATTTTTGTGCGAAGCTCAAAAATCAATGTTTCATGACAAAAATAGGTTAAAATATTATGTCAGATCTTTTAAATCTGTCATTTAACATATTGTTGATTTTGAAATGTCTATACATGTACACAAATGTATATATAGATAAAAAGCATTATAAGACAGGCTACTCTTGTGTAAACTGTAGTTCAAAAGTGAAAGGTCAAATGTCAAATTCAGATGGAAACAGCTTGTTTGGACCATTACTTTGATATGTTAGCAGTAAATTAGAATACACATGAATGAAGAAATCAACATCTTAGGCATCTTAATTATGTACTTTTATTTCCATCTCTTGTAACTAAATGCTCTTTGTCCAAAATAACAAATATTTTTTAGCTTAAAGGAACTCCAATGAGGTCAAAAAGCATAAAAATATTAAATTTGAAATTTTTACATAGATAAAGTGAAAAAATTAAAATAAAAGATTCTAATTAAAGATTGAAATATACAATATTAAATTGAATATCGATTTTAGTGCAATTCTTACTGCAATTTCAGTGAAAGCGTCTGTCATTTTTTGGGTCATTTTGCACAATACAAATGATTTTTCTGGTAAAACAGGGTTAGGGAATGATCTGAAAATTTGCACACAAGTTATTAGTCCAAACCTTATATAAAATGGTATACAAATATCAGAAAAAATATTTCCAGTCCTGTCATGTCAAAAAACATCCGTGGAGTCCCTTAAAGTGAAATGAAAAGAAAGGAAAATGAGAAAAACTCGGGATTTGTTCACCCTTAATCTTCTGATTATCTTTAATGGACTTTTCCAGCTACCATTTCAGGAACTGTTTATTAATTTTAAGAATATTGAGATGAAAACGTAGAGTTTGTCAGTCAACAGTATAGAGCCTGGTCAGACTGCAGGGATGTACAGGTTGGCCTGGCTCTATACTAGTGGCAAAGTCTTTGACTTTTAGTTCCAGAAGGGTAAGGGTTAATTTATTTGACAATAAAATGGGGGAAAAAATTTTTTGTTTTTCATGAAACACTGTTAAATGATTTATTAAATTTTTGCTTTGTATTTTAATTGTTCAGAAGGAGTATATTAAAGTATTGTACAAAAATGTTTTTTAAAATAAACCTGATTCCAATGGTAAATTAAGCAGTATCTTTTGATTTGGTAGTAACTAGCACCTCTTTGGAAAATAATTCAAAGGTGATTTTATAAGAAAGTGATAATGTTTGAATGAACATTTTTGGTTTTGCTTTTTCAGCTAATGATTCACCACATGGTTGTTAGTCAGATTCTTATTTTGTTTTCCAGAGAGTTTACGCAAGGTGTGGAAATTAGAAAGCGAGGTGTTAAAACGTATGTATCCATCAATAATGTCGGCGGCAGATCTGGAGTGCCCTACTGACATTTTCTTTGTTGAAGTTGTTCCAATCCCTGCTACAAAGTTTAGACCAGTGAGTAATTGGATACTTGTTGCTTCTTATATGACTGTATACCCATGTTTCTACAAGTAATTGCCATCATGTCATTTAGAATAGTCTGTGTTTAGGTAATAGATATCAATTTTGAGTGTATTGTAGAATATGCGCAGGAATATAATCAAGAATACTGATAGGCCTGAGTGATAAATTACAAAGCATTAGACCAATAAACTGTGCATTTTTATATACAGTAAAGACTGTCTTAGTGACCCCCTGTATATAGCGACGTTCTGTCTTTAGTGACCATAGTTAGGTTCGCCCAACAGTATTTACTATCTAAATGGTCTGTATGTAGCGACTCCCTGTCTAGTCCGTACAACGACCATGATTTAGTCACCCGTTACGGTATATGAGCTGTGCAAAGCGACTTTTGCAAGGTGAGCAGGGCTTGAGCTAGGGGTCGACTTGGGCGAAGAAGTTGCCTTCGGATCAGCGACTTCGCCTAAAACAAACTTCAAAGCGATTTTGAAGTCGCCCGATTTTTTTAATGATCTGTCATACTTATTTACGCCGTTAGGTCTTTTAACAATTTGTTTACCTCTCAATTACAACCAATTACCTTTAATCCGCTAGTTAAGAACGCGTGTCAACATCAACAAAGTCTAAAACACGCCGCACCGCAAGAGTTCACTATGTATATCTCTCTCGTTATGTATTCATGCGATTGACGAATCAGAACGCGCATTGTATCTACGGCAGTTTGCATTGACCAATCGCGACACACTAATACACTGTGGCTGTTTGTTGACAATTACACAAAATGGCGACAGATTCAATCAATTTTCGCCGACTGCATGATTAAAGACACCTGTATATACATACAATGTAATTGCTGCGGTGTTTTGGCGAGTAAAGATAAACAATGCGCACCGTCTTAAAGGTGTGGTTATGTTCGAAAATTCGTTTGTTAAAATTTTTTTTCGGAGCACTAATCTGTAGAAATTATGTGAAGATTTGTATCTAATGTTTTACTAATACATTGATTTCCGTAAAGTAAACAGGCTGATTATACAAAATTAAATGTCTTTAACATTCTAGCTTGTAAGCAAATCGCTAAATTATAGACGATGATCAGCCTGACTCATTGCCAATATGGCAAGTGGCACTGCTCTATCTGCCCTGAATATTTTTACCAACTAAACATGTATACAGTATATGTAAATATTGTGTTTGCTATTGGTATACATTTATGAAAAGTAGATTTATAGTAGAATTGTTTTATTTGAGAGGTGTTTCTTATTTCTTTTCTGGTTTATTTCTGGCTTATATTTCTCCGGATGACGCCCTATATATCTCCCAACTTCTCCCTAAAGTCTCGAATATATCCGAATTATGTAGAGACTGTCCACAGTGACTCCCTGTCTATAATGACCTTTTTTCTTTTCTCCCATCGAAGGTCACTGTAAACAGTTTTTACGGTACTGTAATGCAGAACAAATAAATATCTTTTTTTTCCATTGAAAAAAAGAATTGATTAGAATATGTTGAATAACATTTAGCACAGAAACAATATTCTCAACATATGATAATACATGATGACAGGTGATGTGTCAGCCTCAGTTTTTTATGCTGTAAAAATGCACTTGATAGGGGAATAGTGGGAAGAATGTTAGAATGTTAGGTTTAGCACTATTTTAATATCCATAACATGTGCTTTTTCTGCAAAATATTGCCAACTTCTCCCATATGACTTTACATGATGAGATATTTGTTGTCAACCATATCTTTTGCTGAACCAAGGTTTTGGTGCATATGAAATTGAGGTCAAGCATGGACTTTATTATAAAGTTTTGGTTTTGCTAACCATTTCTTATATACATATTTGGAACAGAGGTTTTTTGCTTTACAAATAGATCTTGATTTATTTCGGCTATTAATCTTGCAGATTTCTATGATGAGTGGTAGAAAATACGAGCATCCTCAGACGTCCAACTTGCTAAGACTGTTAAAATGTAATTATATTGTGCAAGAGATACTGTGGGAAATGGAGAAAGCTTCAGCTAATACAAACACTGAAGAGAGTACCAAATACTCAGTAAGTGATATGAGCCGTGTTCTCTCAGTATTTTTAATTCTTCACATTGCCTCTCATTGTCGTGGGTTTGAATCCCAACAGGGACTTTGGATTCTTTCATGTGAGGAAGCTATCCAGCTAGCTTACGGAACTTTGGTGGTTCTACTGATGTGCTCAGTGTGCCTGAAATAATGCACAGAGGGGCACCTGAGGTATTCCTGCACCAGTAAAGCTGGAAAGTCGCCATATGACCTATATTGTGTTAATGTTCACATTATTGATGTATGTTTCTTTTTTTCAAGCATTGATGCATTATAACATATTTGTTTAAGTCCTCATCTTTCCTAGCTATGTAAGTATTACCTTATCATATCAATATATGTTTTAAAAAAAACCTTGCAATTTTTGTATATGATCAATAATTGATCTTTTAACAGAGGGACGTCAACCAGATTCCAGGGAAAACGTTGGTAGATAAACTGAGTAATGCCTTAACAAGGTTACAGTCTGCTGCTAATGCTGTAATTGACAGTGATCTTGATAAACTATCTGATGATGTCAGGCCAGGTATCAAACAGGTAAATAAACCTTCCAGGGGCGTCTGTGGCCAAGTGGTTAAGGTCGTTGACTTCAAACCTCTTGCCCCTCACCTCTGTGGAGGAAGCTATCCAGCTAGCTTACGGAACGTCAATGGTTCTACTCAGGTACCCGTTCATGCCTGAAATAATGCACGGAAGGGCACCTGAGGTCTTCTTCCACCAGTAAAGCTCGAACATCGGGATATGATCTATACTGTGTTGATGTGACGTAAAACCATAGGAACTCTGGAACAGGACCGCATATTGCGGCGCATAAATCCGAATCCGTACAGGCTTTACATATTGTTTGTCCGACCTTTGAATATCTTTTCATATTATGCGAGCGGGTGGTCTTTAATTATCTAATCTCAATTAAATATAATCTGCTAATTTAAAAATCAGTCAAATATACGGTATATTGAAAAAAGAAAAGGAGTGACATCCGCCATTTGCCGCAACGTTCTGCGTAAGTTACCCCCCTTGATATGCTTGATTTTTGTTTTAATTTTTCTAGTAATGCATACGAGATGAGTGCCTAAAATATTTATCTATGGATCATGTTTAAATATTCCTTTTTTCAGTTAGACAGAATCAGTTGGACCATATTACTAAAGTGTCTGTTTTCTCCATTTTAACAAATCAATACACGAATACGCCCGTTATAATGCCGCCTATACATGTCAACACGTGTACAAACAATAAACCGTTAACGTTATATCCGCGCGATACCTGATAGTTGACAAAATAACGGGAACAAAATTCTGAAAAAATAGTAATCAATTGTAGCCAAAGGGGAAAAACTCGTGCCGAAAACGTTGCGGCAAATGGCGGATGTCACTCCTTGTCTTTTTTTATAATACCGTAAAATTTGACCAATTTCAAAAGAGACAGATTGGGTTCAATTGATAATATATTTTTTGAGTCCATACACTCGGATAATACCAAAAGATATTTAGATGTAGCAGAAACGTATTTAAAGACCGTTACAAGATCGAAAATATACGCCGCAATCTGCGGTCCCGTTCTCGAGTTCATATGCGTAAAACCCAAAACAAACAAAAAATGAACCTTCCATATACTGGGATATTTTAATTAAAACATATCAAAATCTTCCAAACCTTTTCCCCGATTTTTATGCCCCCCACTTAAGAGGGGGCCTTATAAATTTGTCCTTGTCAGGGCAGCTGTCCCTTCTGTAATGCTAGCTGTCTGTAGTCTGACAAAACTGTGGATTATGGCACTTTCTATATCCTATGAAAGAATATTTCTATTTTAGAATGATTTATTCTCTGCCCACTTGTTGATAATAGACTCCCCTTCTTATCTATTCCCCTGTGAAAGGTGTCCCTCTAACTGAGTCCTGAAATTTTGGCATAAATGGTAATCAATAAATAAATGAGGTATATATAAAACCATTTATAATAATGCAAGGATGAACACATGATGATGATTTTTAAAAAAAATATGAACAAAAAACTTGCTACTATTTACAGAAATTTATATGTCTCTCACTTATGTGGACTTAGTAGTCTGTTTCTTGTGGAGAAATAGATAATTACTGGTTAGTTATCCAGGTATGCCGGTAATTTGAACTGGAAATGTGTTAAAATCTTAGTTAAAACCTACTGAACAAACCAACAAAATTAAGTCATTTACATAAGCTTTTATTTTTCGTACTTTAGTCTATATCTATAGGTTTTCACAACTTGTAAGAACCAATAACAATGATTTAATGTTATAATATGTTAAAATCTTAAAGGAAAATGTACCATCTCCTCTTTTGATATAGGTGATTGAGAAGAAGGAGGGATTATTCAGGAAGAACATGATGGGTAAACGTGTCAACTACGCTGCACGATCAGTTATCACCCCTGATCCAAATATAAATACAAATGAGATTGGAATACCGGAAGTATTTGCGAAGGTTTTGTCCTACCCTCAGCCGGTCACACCATGGAATGTTCATGAACTGAGACAGGCCGTTATAAATGGACCAGATGTCCATCCTGGGTTAGTAGACAGAATTATTTAACTTATGTTTAATTTGTGTTTTTCTTTTCAGTTTTACATAGGTGATAACTGTAAAGTATAAATGTAAAAGAAAAACACCAAAATAAGTGAGGTTATTGTGGGGTTCAATCGTTTGTGATAGAAACAGCATCAAAACACAAGGCTATATGATTTGTACAAGTATCTGATTTGTACGAGTGGGCTATGCACTACTAACATACTGCATTTATGTATAAAAGATTAACTCAGAAACACATTCTGAGTAGAAATGTCCCAAAACTATGATATAATTTTGATATTTCTATATTGAACACACAAAGTTTGTATTAGATTGGTTAGGTCCACATTTAACAGATCAGTAACTGCCTATTAATGTATGAGTAATGTAATTAGCAATTATATCATCTTTATTCTATAATTTAATGTTTAACTACAGTGTTGGTCTACAGGGGACAAGTCAGTACATATTTCTTGTAAAGAATAATAATATCTGTCATATTTTGCGGTTCGGATCGAAATATCCGTCCCGAGGTGACCCGCCCATTGGGCGGTAACGAGGCTTGCCGAGTTACCGCCCATGGGCGGATGACCGAGGGACGGATATTCCGATCCGAACTGCAAAATATGACAGATATATTTTCTTGCATTTTCTACCATATTCCATTATATTTTAAATTCGTTATCTTTATTTTCAATGAAAATGTATATCATTACAACAGTAACTACTTTCATTCAACAGCGTATGAATTACAAAATCATTCATAACGGTAAAATGACGTCATCTTTATCGTGCCATTGTACAGCACGCGACTCATCTGGAACCCCCCATGCCAGATGAAATTTCCGGCATGGGTAAAACTAACGGAAACGCCAGTCTGATATGCAAGAAAAAAGTGGTTAATTTCAAGAAAATGTTTTGTTATTTCAATGAATTGTTTGTTTTACAGGGCTACTCATGTTATTGATGAGAGTGGTTGGGTAACTAGACTAGATGCTAGATTTCCTGATAAACGTGAGGCCTTAGCTAAACAGCTGCTTACACCAACAGTTACTAAACATAAAACCTTAAATGGTGTGAAAAAGGTGAGAATCTATATATACTTTACAGATTGTTTATCAAGTTTCGTGGCGAAATTGAAAGTAAAACTTGTTTACATAAGAAACTCTGTCTTTTAGTCAATCGGATACATTTGATCATAAACACAGAAAATAAAAAAATACAGGGTAGAGTCAAAATTTCAAGAAAAAAAAGATATTAATTAGTTAAAGGGATTTAGTGATGACATTTAACATGCTGAAGTTTTTTAATGGACTTCAAGTCTTGCCCAGCTTTCAGTTTTGTCCATTGTCAATTTTGGGTATATCAAGATGAAAATTTGAAGTTGGTCAGCTTACAACATAGAGCCTGGTCAGGCTGCACCTAGGTTTATGCTGGCCTTGCATCATACTTGCGTTATAGGCAAGCCTGGCACATTGATGTTTTGACATATTTTGCAATCACTTTATAGAAAGATTCAATCTAATTAAGATCAGCTCCTAAATAACACTACGCATTAGGATCTGATGACCACAAATAGGTTGTCAACTTCTTGTGATCTTTCAAACAGCCAATCATCAAGAAGCTTTGAAATTTTTTTTAAAATGATGCGGTTTATAATTTTAACCACTGGAAAACCAATTCTGAGTTAGTTATTTTCATGATTCCGAGAACAAACTTGTCCATAAAGCTAGCAGGTAAACTGGCAAAACAATCTTGACCATTTAAAATTAAGTCTATTGAGGCAGTTTATTTGTTTCAAATTACTTCAAACATTTTTTCAAACAAAACTCATCAAAATTTTACTTCCTCTGACAACGCTGTTTAGCTCGACTATTCGCAGAATAATCCAGCTAATGCAGTCACCCATTTGTCAGCGTCGGCGTCAGCGTCCCTGTGGTTAAGTTTTTGCGTGCAAGCTGGTATCTCCATAACTACTGAAGGGAATGGATTGAAACTTCACACACTTGTTCTCTGTGATTAACTTACATGATTGGCACAAGTCCCATAACTCTGATTTGCTTTTTTGCATAATTATGCCCCTTTTTCGACTTAGAAATTCTTGGTTAAGTTTTTGCGTGCAAGCTGGTATCTTCATAAATACTGAAGGGAATGGCTTGAAACTTCACACACTTGTTCTCTGTGATTATCTAACATGATTGGCACAAGTCCCATAACTCTGATTTTTTTGTGTGCATATTTATGCCCCTTTTTCGATTTAGAAATTCTTGGTTAAGTTTTTGCGTGCAAGCTGGTATCTCCATAACTACTGAAGGGAATGGCTTGAAACTTCACACACTTGTTCTCTGTGATTATCTAACATGATTGGCACAAGTCCCATAACTCTGATTTGCTTTTTTGCATAATTATGCCCCTTTTGCGACTTAGAAATTCTTGGTTAAGCAAATATCTCCATAACTACTGAAGGGTTAGTGCCTTTTTTTGAACAATTTTATGCATTTTATAATAATAAAGCAGTGATTAACTCCATAAAACATCTTAATAACAAGCCTTTGTACCTTTTTGGACAATTGTATGTATTCATATAGGTAAGCATTATTATACTCAATGAAACACACTTGTGACAACTTTGCGAATAGTCGAGCGTTACTGTTCTCTGACAGTTCTTGTTTTATTCTTCGTCTAATGCCTATCTGTTAAGAATGGTTTAATTACATGGCTAAAAATAGCTTTCTCGAGAAAACCAAATCACATTGAAGGCGAAACATATACAGTGTAATTAGATCTGCATGTAAGAAATAAGTAGATCTGAACTTTAGTCAAGATTGTAGAAAGGTTGTGTTTTATGTTTATAGGTACAGAGACATTTAAAGAATGGTGATGTGTTACTTATAAATAGACAGCCCACGCTACATAGACCTAGTATACAGGCTCATAAGGTATGTATTTTGTTGGTATGCTACAAAAGAAATTGTTGGGCATACATATTAGGAAGTATAACTCAGCTTACTAGCAACATTCATGACCATGCATTCTGAAATATTACTTGCATAATAATGTATAGTGTCTTTTACCTAGAACTTTTAAAAGTTAACAAATTATTTATGGAAACAATGTATAGTCATGGACCAGTATTGCCTATTTGATTGACCAGCAAAGAAAGTTTAAGGCTTCATTAATAATGCATCAAAACTAACGATTTAACATTCTGGTAGCTGGTTAAATCAAGTGCCCACATGGTTTATTTTTAAGTATATGAGTGGATTATTGTTGGAAAATTTTAATTGGTGTCACTTACTTGACGAAATTAGATATAAATTGTCCCAACTTTTACTTAAACTGTTGATAAACAGGTATCTGGAGATTTATTTGCAATAGGTTAGGTGATCACCGTTAATATGGTATTTATTGAACATGCTCTTTAGCTCTGGTTTGAAGTTACTTTAAATTGTTCAAAAAATGACCCTTGATGGTGTTAAGTTATGAAAATTAGAATGAAGGAATTGTTTATCAATGTAAATCATGCCTGGGTACGGGTCTCACATTTATTGATGTATATTTCAGGCACGAGTATTAAAGGGAGAGAAGACATTACGACTTCACTATGCCAACTGTAAGGCGTACAATGCTGATTTTGATGGAGATGAAATGAATGCACATTTTCCACAGAATGAAATAGCCAGATCAGAGGCTTATAATCTAGGTAATTAGAATATATTAGGCATAAATTATATATAAATAAATTATAAATATATATTAGAATAAACAAAGATTCATAACTTAATGGACATAACTTAATGGAAACAATGGAGAAATTTAGAGAAAAATTAAATGATTGATTTAAGCTTTTTAATGTGTTAATCACAGTATAACTACATGTAGATAAATTGGATATCGACCTTTGTGATTATATTCCTGCACATATGAACTTGCACCGTACATTATTCTACAACAATGCACTGGAAATTAATTAAGCTCACAGTTAATGCCACGATTGAAATATACCGAAATTTTATGACATGCTGCCCAGTTAAAGTAAAATACAGGTTTACCTTGTAAAACTTAGATTGGGATTTACAATCTGTGTTATTGACTACCCTGGATTGCTTTCATACTAAAGTTTAAGGAAACCTGTTGACTTCCTTTAACAGTAATGCATATTGAACAGTGTTGATTTACTGAACATTTATAGTTATTAAGGTATTATTTCAAGTCTCACATGTCTAAAATTTGGTTTTGTATATGACTACATCACTCCAGAAATGCAGATTATTTGGTGATCACAATAGTCTATGCTTTGTATGATTTTCTCTCTTCTTTCCTTTACATGTAGTTATTTGTAACAGTAATTTGTAGTTACGATAAATTTAATAGTGTTTCTCTATACTGTTGATGATTATTTAATTACATGTATATTTTGTGTTGTACTGCAAATTCTTAATTGTATTTTCAGCTAGTACAGATTTTCAGTACCTTGTACCTAAGGACGGCACACCCCTGGCGGGTCTGTTACAGGATCACATGGTGTCAGGTGTCTCCCTCACTATCAGAGGAAGGTTCTTTACAAAGTAAGTTTTACTGTATTTTTAACAGCCCTTTTAAAATAATTCTTGGGTTATTATGATGCCTTGACTACATGTTTTAATGTCTCACCTAAGAATTTCACAAAAATGACATTAAAATGTGAAAACAATGATATGTTCAACTAGCAAAATAAAAATTTATAAATATATGATGATAAGAATAGAACGGTATATTTGGTTTTTGTTTAGAACAATGTTTAGAAATCAATTATGTTATGTCTCACCGCTACAGGTTCAAGCAGTGTAAGCTTTGTCAGATTGTACATGTGAGAAAGCTATTCAGCTAGCTTAGGGAACATCATTAGTTCTACACAGGTGCCCGTAGTGTCTGAAATAGTGTACAAAAAGGCACCTCCACTTGTAAAGCTGGAAAGTCCCCATATGATCTATACTGTGTTGGTGCAATGTAAAACCAAACCAGAAAAAAAATGTTTTGCTTGATAACACCTTGTGTTTTTGTATTCATGTCATGGACATGACTCATGTTCTTCCTGGGCAATTTGTTGTAAGACAATATCTCAAAGGCCGTTTTCATCACCATTAATCTGAATGGAGAATTGTGCTATTACTTGCGGCAAATCAGGTCATTATTTGAATAGAAGTAAAGAACACTGATCAAGTTACTTTCCTGTGCTGTTCGTCTGAAATACTGTTGATTCTTGACCATATCCAAGTAAATCAGACAGTATTATTTCCAAATTATTACATATTTTATTTTCCAGAGATGATTATTGTAGACTAGTCTATGGAGCTCTTATTGACAAAAATGGACCAGTTAAAATGTTACCACCTTCCATCATAAAACCAGTCAAATTATGGTCAGGGAAACAGGTATGGTGTATATATATTTTTTTTGATATACAGTTGACTCTCGGTAACTCGAAATCCAAGGGACTGGGCATTTTACTTTGAGAGAAACGGAATTCGAGTAAGGTGGATCTGCCGCCATTACGTTGAAATTTGTACATGTATATACATGTGCATGATTGAATTTACAAAGAAGTAGGTTTATTATTGTTGATAGCGGCAATGCTACAATATTTAACTGTTGAAATGACGGTAAATCACTTTCAACTACAAATTATGAACAAAAATATATAATTTAATACATGTATATTAATAGTGAAACATAAACACAAACATTCGTAGCAATGACATAAATGCAAGTTTGTCAGTATTCATCAGTAAAGCACATGTTTATAATAAACACTCATGACATATCATTACAATAAAAGCACAATAACACTTTTATTTCAACAACAATTTATCTAATATTTGAAGTGAATTGATCATCGGACGAAAAACGAAAGTAGCAACTATCGTGAACCGGAAGCACATATTAATGTATGCAATATGACGGAACATTAATTATACAAATGTCATTTACGTTGATAACACACATCAATACCTAGGCTGTTTTTTTACTAACACCTGTCAGACTGGCACGAGTCTTAATTTTGTTATCTAACTGTGAAAACCAATTAAGTCCTGAAACCGATTAAAGCCACTTTTACGACGTGTTAATAATACATGATGACCGGCAATTAAAATTTCTATGGAACGTGTGAATCACAAGAGACAACATCTCACCTTGATGTTGCCGACCTTTGATCAGTCGGCTGTTTTCACAATTCGACTAATTGAGATGAAAATATGTTGGACTTTAATTGACGGGACCAAATTTTCTTTTCGACTAAACAGGAGTCTCGCTAAGTCAAAATTTGACCTAAGCGGAGTTAAAATACAAAGATAAAGAAGGAAATTTGATGGGACTTTAGAAATACTTCGACTTACGCGGAATTTTGAGTAAAGCGATTTTGACTTATTGAGAGTCAACTGTACATGTATTTAGTAATGTGAATTTTATTTAATATACAAAAATTTGGTAAATGTATCGGTAAGATACATTTGCTTGGAACTTTTATATCAGGAGAAAAGGAATATTTTTTTTCAGTTCAAGCCTTACAAGGATTAAACCATGCTTCCCCACCAGTGCTGGTGGGCACTGGTTGATTGAAATAAGTGTTCTTGAGTGCGGGTGAAAGAGGCTCCATTAGCTTTCTAAATTCCCAAGTTAAAATTGTTTGATAAACTAAGGTTTTTTCGATGCTTTGAGCAAGTCAATGATTCAAGAAAACTGTCATTTTTCTTTGATTATGACATGATTGTTAGCGCTATGTATTTGGATACATTGTTCTATATCATTTGGCAGTTTAGTAATGGTTAATTTTATTTTCCACTTTGCTCCTTTATTTATGTACGGAGTTAAGATCAATGCCATACTTATAAATTTATAATTAAAAAAAAAGGTTTTATTATTAGTTTCAGGCATTTTGTAAAAATGAGTTAAAAAGTAAGATTTGGACAGGAACAATGTCATAAGCATTTTTTACCATTTGATGTCTTTGTCATTCAATCTTTCAGAAATACATAAGTTAATATATATTGTAGGTGTTATCTACAGTTGTTCTCAATGTTATACCAGATGGTAAGCCTGCTTTATCACTTGATGGAAGAGCTAAAGTTCCTGAGAAGGTAACATAATTCACATTTACATTTATACAGCAACATTGACTAAATATTTGAAGTTCACGGACCAATCTAACATTGTGTTTTAAGATGTGTTATACCAAGATTTCAGAGACAAAAAATAAAATTTAGTAGACATTAGATTGTGTAAACAAAGTGTAAATTGTTTTTAAGCAACTAAGATAATAAACAACAACAAAAAACATAGTCAATTATCGGTAACTTTGTTGTGGATAATGATCTTGTGAATTTAGATTCAATACATGTAAAACATTTTGTTATAAGAATATAAACCTTTATATACTGTTTGGCTGAACTGTTGCCTTGCTGAATTTATGTGATAAACCTGCTCTTCTTTGAAGCTGTCTTGTTAATTTAAGAGATTTCAGTATTAAACTAATCTAGAATATAGCAGTCAACAGTATAACAGTATAAAGTCTGGTCAGACTGTGAGGATTGGCATTCTGGCCTGGCTCTATACTGGTGGCATAGACCTGGCATTGTTACTGTTGTCACTCTACAGGTAATGTAAAACTTGTAATAAGAGTTTAAAATTGTTCATTTCAGAGTTGGATAAAGGTTCAGAAGTCTGATTTTGATGATCCGTTGAAATATATGAGAGAGAGTGAGGATGTTATTATAAGACAAGGGGAATTACTCTGTGGAGTTCTTGATAAAGGGCATTATGGTCCATCAAACTTTGGACTGATCCATTGTTGTTATGAGGTATGTTTACAGGAGCCTTGCTTATGCTTTATATTTACTTTTCTATCAGGTTGTTTAATACTTTACCACCTGAATTTGCATAAGGGATTTGCCCTGCGTTAAATATAGATACAATTCATATGAATTTTAAGGGGTTTTGTAAATAAAATACAAGGAAAGAATTTGTAAGAAACATTAAGTAAATGCTTTGTTTATTTTCAAAAGATTTTCTATTGCTTTGCATATAATTTTGATCAGATTTTATTTTGAACCTCACAAAGTTAACTGACATGAAATTAGAGTGGAATTTGACTGCAATTTGTTTGTTTTGAAGTCACACCCACACTAAGTACATCTAAGTACACTGCCAACAATGCCTTAAGTAGCTGGATAGCTTTCACATGTGAAAGAATTCAGAGTCCATAGCAGATATTAAACCTGCAGTTGTGAAGTCAACAACATATACTATTATTCCATGGATTGCATTTAACTGTCATATTACTAACAAATACATTGGAAGAAGTTATATGATACATATATTTATTATTTAACAGTTATACAGTGGTGCTGTAGCAGGACAGATGTTGACATGTTTTGGTCGATTGTTTATGAACTTTCTCCAGTGGCGAGGGTTTACGTTAGGTGTTGAGGATATCCTGGTTACTAAACAGGTAATACTGTACATCCTCGCATAAAAACTGAGCATGAAGGTATACATTCATGAAGAAGAAGACATGCATTAATGTGTAGATTCTTGTGACCACATGCCGTTTTTGCACATTTTTTGATATGTGTGACTCAGGGTTCAATGTAGGTAGAGCTTAATGCAATAACAGCCCTGGTAATTTTGTTATGAAAACAACTTTCAAATGTCAAACTAGCATGTGGTAAGCATCAAACAAGCAATGGTTTCTTTATATGAAATACAATTAGCAAAACATGAAACAACTGATTTGGAACTTAACTTTTATGCAAGAATAGCGCTAATGCAACTTTTTTTGTGCATTATTATCTGCAGAAGCCCTCAGACTTATTAAATCCCTCGCCTTTTAGGCCCAGACTTTAAAGGCATCCTTGTGCTGTTTTTGCATTAACCCTCTACTAAATACAGTTGAAGGCTGATAATCTCTTGCTTAATGTACAAAGCATAGAATTATAGCCTGCAAATTATTATAAACTAAATACATGTAGATGCATAACTACTTAGCTCAATAGAGAGAGCATCAGATATATAATTTGCTCTTTTTGTCAAAAATGATAAAGGCAAGATTTATCTTTTTAGCAGTGAAAGCAGGTTATGGTCCTTTATGTTATGATAAAATAATTTGAAATTGTAAGAATGGTAAATATTGAACTTTCCATTTGTCTCGGTTGTAAACACAACAGGAAAACCTATTGAATGCATATCCTTTAAAAAATCTTTGTAAGTTGTCATATAATTTTCACATTAATCTGTTAAGGGGGACAAAAAAAGGAGAAGACTTATCAAGAAATCACCAGCCTGTGGTGAAGTGTCAGCCAAGAAGGCATTAGAACTTGACCAGGAATGTGGGGAGGCGGAACTACTGAGTGCATTAAAGAATGCCCACTTTAATAAGGAGGAGAGACAGATGAGAGAGTTGGATCAGAATATGAGGAGTCAGACCAATACTATACAGAATGATATTGTCAAGTTAGTAAATAATTGTCCTTAGATTGATTTACCCCTAGAGCTCTTGTTGTGATTATAACTTCAATTTCAAAATATGTACTGACTTAATAGTGAACAGTTCAGACCATGATCAGATGGTAAAATGTGCTTGCTGATTTTGGTCTGCACTGGTGGCGTGGGTATATTCAATTGCCGTAAGCTAACTAAGCTCTTATTCTGTTAATCACACTGTATAAATAGCCCTTATTGCGTTTATCATGCAGTAGAAATTAGTGATAATACAGCAAAATTGTATCTTAATGCCCAAAAAAAAATCAATTATTACTTGAATCTTGAAAACTTTTTAACTTTTTTAAATCTT